GAATCATGCATTCTGTGTCCATTTTGCCTGAATAATGCATTCTGTGTCCATATAGCCTGAATCATGCATTCAGTGTCCATTTTGCCTGAATCATGCATTCAGTGTCCATTTTGCCTGAATCATGCATTCAGTGTCCATTTTGCCTGAATCATGCATTCAGTATCCATTTAGCCTGAATCATGCATTCAGTGTCCATTTTGCCTGAATCATGCATTCAGTGTCCATTTCATCACAATCATGCATTCAGTGTCCATTTACCCTGAATCATGCATTCTGTGTCCATATAGCCTGAATCATGCATTCAGTGTCCATTTTGCCTGAATCATGCATTCAGTATCCATTTAGCCTAAATCAGGCATTCAGTGTCCATTTACCCTGAAACTGTAAGAATACCACAGTTAAGCAGTTATCCACATTGTTGTGGCAGAATATAAACTTAGAGAACAGTCTGTTTATGACATGAGCGAGTCAGATTGTGACTTCTGCTGTTACTCCCAGTACCATTGTGCAGCATGTGGATGTTTATGCTGTTCCCTCTACCACTGTTCTTCCACCCTTGTGCCCCCTTCCTTATAGACTTATAAGATGTGCTTTTGTCCAGTGATGGGTATAAAAATAACAAGATACAGATATAATTGGGTACAGGGTATTCATTTGTAATATTTAGGATTACACTTTCTCAGTTAAGTACAGATTCTAGTACTTTGTGTGGTTGTGTACCATCCGGGATTCGAACCCACACCCTCAGAGTCAGGCACCTAATCACCAGCACACAAAGTCAGCCACATATCCCGCTCAGCCACTGTGGCTTCCATCTGATGTTACATTTGACGTTTTCTAAATGGCATTGTGTATTCACAGGGTGTTCATTGTCGTGTACGGTATTGACATTCCCGTCTTTTCATGTGTGGAATTTGACATGACATAGTATCTTAAATGATTTGTTTGAGATATGAAATTTTGGTTGGTATGGTCCTTCTGTAGCAAAGAACGAACAAAATGTACCTTACATGTTAATGGGTACATAGGGCTAGAGCTAGGTCAATCTAGATGACCTGCTATGTGTACTCTGATCATGACTAAGTTAGTTATGAGTTGAACATATGGGAACCACCCAGTGTTCCAGTCAGACATGATAACACGTTGATACTTGCTGCGTCACTGTTGTTGTGACAATGAAGTTGGTTTCAACATCCATTTAGATCTGACACAGATGTCAATTTATTATAACTCATTAAATTATATTAATCAATTTTTTGTAGTTTTTCATGACAGATATTAGGTTCATTAATGTAATAGTTTGGAAATTCTAAAATTATTATGTTCTGACTGACAAATTCATTAAACCCTACTTTTATTAACATTAACACTTTCACTGAAACAGTGACTCTACTACAGAAGTATAGAATGTATATATTATTCACTACTTTCTAAAAGTATTTTATCTGGTAAGTTTGTATGACTACATCCTAACAGATATTCGGTTGATTTATGGGATTCCGACAGCACCTTGAATCGTAATAGTTTGGTATTGTTATTAAGTCACTATGTAAAATTATTGTTCTGACTGACAAATTCTATTGTCACCTTACTTTTATTAACATGAACGCTTACACTGAAACAGTGACTCTACCACAAAAGAATAGAATTATAAAGTAGGCAATACTCTTCTTAAAAAGTCTTTTTTTTTCTGGTAAAGTTAATATGACAGGGTTGCCCACCTTTCCTAGCAGCCAGGATCCTCTGATCAGAAGTTAAAACTTCAGATTTTGACCAATCACCAATGATCATGAACGTTTGTTGGTCAATGTTATGCCATTATCATGATTATTCATGTTTTCAACAAAGTGGTAAAATGCCTTGACATGCATAAATAAGTGATTCTTGAACAGTCTTGAACCCATGTAACTTTCACCCAGAACCTCCTAGCATCATGGAGACAAGTGTTGATTCTGGTGTTTGTGTCAATGTACATGTGTGTATTGCAACAAGAGATGCCAGTATCAGAGATGCCAATCCATACGATTTTAATATATTTCGTTAGAAAAAAAACCAAACCAAAATATGCGACTACGATAGCAGTAGAAATATATGAAGTTTTCAAAACAATAAATTAAATCAAAATATCATATAGCATAATAAATTTCAACCACGTTATTCAGTATCAAGCTATATGTGGATACTTATTATTATTATTATTAAAGGGCAAGTGTACACGAAAAAATCATTTTGTTTCTTACATGAATCAAAATTCAGTTTTAGAATTATTACTTATTCATTTTTGGATATATGCACTCATCTTTTTCATATTAATAGTTTGAACCTGAAAATACGTGTGAAAATGGTGCGCCGTTATGAAGCATTCGATTTCAGAGCCAAACAGGCCTGAGTTACCCCTTAGATATGGCGTAATTGGTGCCACTCTAACTGGTAGCTTGTCTTAATCTGACGTGAAAGACATCCAGTACCAGTTTACTGTCACAAACAACATGGCCTCGGATTCGATGCTGTCTGACTGCGAAGAATTTTCACTGAATCAAGAAAACGTCCAACCATATTCCTTTGAACCGACAAGGGCTAATTTCCCTGACTTCAAAGTAAAGGCGAGATACGATCAAGTGCATGATGTGGAACCTAGTGAAGACCTTTTGTCTTCAAACATTGTGTCGTCAAGCGCCAGAGTCCGATTCATCGAGACCACCGTGGTAAGATCATAATATTACTTCTATCTAAATAATGTACATTTCAAAATATAAACTTATTTGTAGTGATGCTTGCTATGCCTGATAACCAGCACTCTTCGTTTGCTTTTCGCCTGGTCCATCCCGTCACAGTGTCAGTGTCATCAAATATGCTTGTCCAAACAATAATTGAAGATAACACTTACATCTAACTTCACAGGGAGTTTTCACTAGATTGTAGTATTATTGTCGTTTTCCTTGAGTAAAGTTCGCTTTATCTTCCCCAAACACGTACGTAGTTCTGATGGTTTCGTTTCCCAACGCAGTCATTACCGTGGGCACGTAATACCCGGAAATATGTTTACAACGTTGACAAATCAGACAAATAAATACTCTTGTATTATGTGAACACCATGTCTGATTATAAAGAATGGCTAGAATGCACTTTACCGGGCGCAGCCCTCGCTGCTCCCTTTACGATCCTTAGGGTTAGGGTTAGGCACCCTTTACGATCCTTAGGGTTTAGGGTTAGGCACCCTTTACTATCCTTGGGGTTAGGCACCCTTTACGATCCTTAGGGTTAGGCACCCTTTACGATCCTTAGGGTTAGGGGTAGGGGTTAGGGTTAGGGAACCCCAGCAGTGCTAATTAGTCTGAAAAAGTGCGCCCGGTAAAGTGCAGTACTCCCTAAAGAATATGCATTGTATATGTTGCTTTGTGTTTGCAATGTGTTTTCATAATTTGGTGGTTACATTAATTTCTGTGAAATCGGGTGTGTGAAACCGCAGCACATCGATTTTCCGGTTTACCGTGTTTTCTAACCAAAACCAGGATCAAAGAACGACAGTGAACGAACTTTAGTTTACAGATAATGTATATTTTTTCCATATCTACTATCACTCGATTAAAAAACAAGTTGCTACATCCAGTATACGTTATCGACATCTTATCTGAGTAACACGAAAATAGGGGACACTGCACTGACAGTGACATGTTTTGTTTGTAAACCGGTACATTCATTGATCAATGGTTATAAGTTTTTCTGACCTTTGACTGTTAATGAGAAAATTGTAGTAGCTCTTGGAAACTGTTGAAAAAGTTCTTCATTCAAATATGTTATGATATGATATGAAACACACACACACACACATACAATAAATATAAATGCAAATATGAATTTATGCTGCAGGAAAAAAACGTCTTTTTCATGAGTATACAAGTCAATTGATTTTTCAAAGTAAAATTACTACTCATTCGATAATGTTACAGGTGCACTTGTGGTCACTGCGTTCACATGCAGTCTGAAGTAGAGGAGCTATGTTGTCAGGATGTTGCTCCAATCAGGGAAAAGCTTGATACATCAAATCACAACTGCATTACTTCTCACCCTGGCCTCCATGACGTATCACTGAGCAAGTATAGTATGGAGGCATACTACAATGAATTCATTGACAGCAGTGGCCCCATAGGTGATGATGAACCAATACACAAGTAATATACCGAAATATGCTTATAATTTCTAAAATTATTATTTGCATTACTAAAACAAGATACAGACCATGTATTTGTAGATGAATTTGAAAAGAGCAATATTTTTCCATTTCCATAATATTGTATATCCAGAGAAATGATACAAGAAAAGTAGTACCTCATAAGCCTTATACAGGTAAATCATGCTATGCTTTTGTTACTGGAGCCTTCATTTAACTGTTTTAGTGTATTAATAATTTGAGGCGCCCCATTTATTTCTCATAATAGGTTCTAACTCATGGGAAATGTGAATATCCTGAAGACAGATTACTGAGCAATTCCTTTCCGCCAGATGTTCATAATTTCTTTCCGTTTCTGTTTTTCGCAATGCCCCTACAGTTAACAGAGGCTATTTTAATATTACTACTCATTAAAATCATGTAATTGGTACATAGTTAAATGGATGTAAGTTGAGATGAGATGACCTGATATGCTGGATTTTGCAATATAAGAAAAAAAACAGGAAAGTAAACAAGTGTATAAAAGCAACACTTGCTACCAGATTGGTGTACCAAACCATCTGAGGATGTGTAGTACTGGATGAAAATATGCCCTACACAATAGACCTAGTTGGAAGATCAACCCTACACAATAATCACAGGCCCTCGTGTCTTTACGAGGATTAAAGATGTTAAAAACATAAAACATTTGAGGTGACCCGACTTGAAATGCTTCACAGTACAATATAATTTGACCTGTTGTTAATGTAATGAATGAAGTTATTGATGAACTTTATCCCTCTTGTCATCTACCATATTTTCTTCCTCCAAAGTGACACCACCTTCTCATCAGACATGACACTATCAAACAGACACATTCTTGAAATACACAAAAACCTCCCCACTAACTAGAACCATAAACCCCATACTCTTTATCCAAATGGATGTAGTATTTCTCGAAATTTTAAAAAAGTTCAGCATGTTGAAATGGAGACAATGTATGTGTACTTAAAATCATATTCATATTTTTCAGAATCTATCGACATCTGGCCTACAGAAGATTTACATACTGGATTTGGCAGAAATTGGGAAAAAATCATCGCAAGGTGATTCCTTCTTGTGTTGTCCATGTTATACGTGCAACATTTCCATCAGATGTATATACTGGATTTCTTTATTCTCACTAGAATAAATATTGTTTTAATGGAAACGTGTTTTATGGTTTCTGACAACGATTTGTTTTTCCCGTTTCTTTCCGTGAGTTTCAGTCATGCAGGGTGGCTGATGTTCATTTAGGGAGTTGTCAGCAAGGGCACAACTTGGAAATTCTGTTCGAATGTCGGACACCTCCTGTAACAGCTCGCCAATATATTCTGAAAAAGTAAATACCAAATATACATTACCGCTACATGTCGTCATTGTCATAAAAGAAAAAGTCCATCATTAAGCATTATGTCTGTGTATAATAGGAAAGGTTGAACAATGTCATGAAAGTTGCATATCACTAATATCATACCATATGTTGGATTTGTTTTGAGAGGTTTAGCAGTAGCCTCCCAGTTTCTGCTCTTAGGATATGAGACACTCCATTTCTCTTCTCCTGTTTTGGTGTGTGCTTTCAGTCGTGTTCCATTCTCATTGAAGTGGAGGGCAGACATCAACAACCTGTTACAATATTATTATTGTTAAAACAGTAATTTCACCACTGACTGTTTTATATGATGGCATACACAAAATATAACTGTAGTTAACAATAAAAGAAATTCAAAATTCTGATTGCAGGACCGAGACCATGGTATGCTCTATTATTGTCTCTGAGTGGGTTACTAAAATAAGTAAATCCTATCAAAAATGTGAGGCAAACTGGTTATGGCTAATTGTTATCCAGTGAAAAAACAAATGAACAGTTTTCTTTGATAGTAAGTTGGTACATACCTTGCCTTCATACCATTGTAATGATAATGGTAGAACTTTGGAGCGAAGTGACATATGACACTATGAAATCCTTCAAGGTATGATGTCTGCCCATGAGGTGACAGTTTGGCTACATCTTTCAGGAGATATCTGGACTTTAAGATGCTTTCTATCTCCTTGTGAGCTCGTGTTCCTGAAGAATAAATTCATGTTTTAATATATTTTTATAAAATGAATGCCATTTTGTCTTCATTATCAGTGATGAACATGTCTAATCACAGAGCAATATTTGATTTTGTGAGTGGTCAGTTGTACTCAGGGGAGCTGACTGAGTGGGCGAGATCAAGAAAATGGAAAGATGGGTGTGGGTTTGTAACAAACCAATGATGATGCTTAGTGTGATAATCATTACAATTTTACAAAAACTTCAAGTTTGAATGTCAGGCTGCATATGAAAATGTAATATCATACATTATGAAGTTGCTTGGTTAATTTTACATACCAGCAGGTATCCAAATTCTATCTTGAATTTCTCCATGCATACAAGATGGAAAGGTTTCACTGTGACCACTATGTATGTTAGCTAAGTGGTTGCCAATCGACAACCACTTAGCCAGCACCTCCTCAGCATTGCCATGGCTGGTGGCAGCACACCAGTACATATGATTGGAAATGGAGTGTGCCCACAGGCTGATTATTTCAGGCCTTTCTTCTTGCTTACTTTTGAAGTTTCTTGTAAATACCTGAAAACATCAAATGCGGCTGGTACAATGGATCATCACTTGTTAGAAAAAAGTTATTGAAGTAAACTTACCTCGGAGTGTGTTTGTTAAGGTTAAGGTGATTTAATATATTTGTCGAATAATATTTAATTTATATTCCACTTTCTGAAAAGCATTTTCATGCCATAACTGTGTCAATGACACTAAATATTAAGTCTAATCACGATATGATGGGTCTTAAAAACTATTCACCTTTAGCAACATGCCATACATCAAACCAATGTTTAATGCCACCTTTCTCCCTCTTTATATAAGCTTTTACTTGAATGTGTCGGTCTGTTATTATGTCTGAAACATTTACTCTGGCATTCTCAAGATGTGCAAGGCCCCTTTTCAATCCTTCAAGTTCCATGGCATTCGAATTGGCCACTTCATTTGACTGAAACAGAGCAATGTAAATTAAGTCATTAAGTCATCAGAAAGTATTACTGTACACAACTGAGCATGTTCACTCTTATGCTGTGCATGTCATTTTATGTTATGACAGGATTGTATTCTTACCTGCACCAACTGGATGTCCAAAACTTGATGTGTGTCCACATCGATCAATGTATAGCTTCCATACTTAGCTGTAATACATAAACACATACATACTATATACAATTGACACAACTTTTCTTCCAAGACATGCTTATGTTAAATATATCAAATACAGTGAAACATTTCTATTTCATAATGGTTTTCAGCCAATTCTTCTTACTATTCCCAGTTACACATGAAATTTATAAGCCAAATAACTTATTGAAGCCAAACTAGTGTGGACATACCTGTATGTCCAGGTGAGCAACACCGTGCATCCCCTGCCAGACGTACAGATTTCTCTTTCCTATCAGCTAATAGCTGAGTTTGGTGTTTTGACCACACCCTTGAAATAGCTGGGACTATGTAGCTTCTCTGGAGTTTATGAAATGTTGACATGCTTATATTGTACATGTTCATAGTTGAATAGCTCCTTAGAGCCTTTGCTGGGCAAAGACTACTAAAGAAAACAGCACAAGCTATGGCTAAATTGCCAAGTGGCAATTGTTTGTGTATTGGCTGACTATTCCAGAAGTATGCATGCTCTTGGTGTCTGAGGCACTGTACCTGCACTGTCACCAGACTACCACAGATATGATACATTTTGGCTCTGCATGAATAAAAGCAGAATTTGCAAAACATGAAAAGTGACAGCAAATTGGATTCAAACACCAGGAACTTTGTTTCTTCCATATGGTTGTTCAGGGACCTGAAATGTGAATTAACAACTGTCAAAATCACATAGAAAATTGTACATGTTACATCAGTGCGATCCACAATTATTACACGTTATATGGCAGATATGACATAAATTGGGAATTGGCACATTTAATACATACTCTGGCTGGGATTGAGATTCTTGAACTTGATCTGACTTGAATGTGGATTGTAATCTTCATCAGTGTCATTTCCATCATCAGTTGTGTCAGGCATATTGTTCTTGCTGTCAGCATCACCTGGTGCCTGGGTAACAATGTGACCAATTTGCATAAATAGTATTAGGGCTGTAAGTGCATACACTAATGCTCAGTTACTACCAGATATTTACATCAAAATCAATTCTGTTACAATATCACTAAAACATAACATAATGTACATGTTTCAATACAGAACAATATTTACTGGATGTAGATTTTGAATGAGTAGTTATTGTAAACATGTTATTGTTACCTCATATTGTGTATGCACGGTCGCATGTATCTGGTGTACACTGGACAGCAATTGTGCACCAAGATGTGTTCATGCTCTTCTGGGTACCAGTCGACATCAAGGAGGGTGTCACACACTGACAGGACTTACTCCGACACTACACATTTGGAAGATACAATACAAACATTCAAAATTGTAAAAAAATATGCAATATAATTTACATTAATTAAAATTTGTCAGTAAGTGTTGTCTTATTACCCTAACTTTTCTGTATTTTTTAAAAGCACGGGTCTATAAGGAAAGTCAGATTTAAATATTGTATTAATTAACATGCGCGAAATAACATACAGGTAATTTGTTCTTTATTTTATATCTTTATTAATGTTCTTACCGAAATGAGTTGGTTTGTGTCTGTTCCCACGTCAACTGTCTCAGTAGTAGAAGATGTACGTGAGTGGATGTTGACAGCTTCGTTTTCCTCCACACACTGACTGCCCTCCGGCATCGAGGGAACTGGTATTGGTAAACACTACCCCCAGTCGTGAATGAGAGCGGCTACAAATTTCAAAAGAAAAGCATTCGATGACGTTATTCACCCCAAAAATTCCACAAATGGTTCGATTCAAAATCACAAAACCAAGCACAATACTTTAGCTCAACGATCAGCTGATCACCGAGGATCGATGTCATTGAAACCAGGAAGTGAATGAGGCGCACATCTAATTAGCTACCAAACTATGAATAAATACTTCTTTATTTTATATATATAAACTACAGTCTTATAAACTAGGGTAGCATGTTTACATTATTTTGGTATTTACTTACTTACCAGAGTTCCCTCGACTTTACGTCGTTTGTTTACAAAAACTGACCAGTCGGGCTCTTGATGAGAGTGCTGTCCCTTGACCTCATTACCATACAAGGATGGAACCGCATCGAGGCGTAGTTGTTTCCGATCAGCTGACTGACTGAGAGTCGTCGATCGCATCACGCCGACAGCAAATATCGAAGTCTGCGACACACACCCGCGATTCACTAGTCGGGCCATTCCAGTCACTATCCTTCTTTTACAGAATTTTATCCATTCTTGTCTTCTCCGTGGTGATTTGGGGAAGCGGAAATAACTTACTTTGGTTTCATGTTTGTTTGCATTGTGGTTCATACAGCGAGGAACCGAACAGTGCACCATGTTCAATTCAATAGTATGCATCTGAGGCGCTGGAATCAAACACTTGTGCTTGCACTACGTTGAAGCGTTCCATACAACCTGATGACGTCATTTGTTTATAAATGTGGCACCAATTACGTCATTTCCAAGGGACATAAGCCATGGTGTTTTTACTATTGAAATGGAACACTTGGTAAATGTGTAAAATAAAAATCGTTTTCCTACAAAAAATATATAGTTAATTTTATAATTTTACTGTTTTTGTCTTTAAAAGTACCAAGTAAATAATTTTCATATTAAAAAAGAGCAAGAAAAATAGGTTCATTTTCGTGTACACTTGCCCTTTAAATGTTAATAACAAGTTCTTTGAATATCTATATATTGTTTATTAAATATGAAAATTCTTTTGAAAAGTTAATACTAATTTTGGCCCCCAAATACTAATTTTTGCATCAGTTTTTGGCCAAAATACCAATTGGACTAAATGAGGGTTGGCATCTCTGCAGTATTATCATGTATCAAGTAACTTATCGTTTGTTATTTTGTTATACTGTGTTAAAATATGTTTGTTTCCAGTATCCCACCCTGACATTTATCTGATATCCTTCAATAATTTGATCTGTTACATGACTTTTGCCTTTGAATTGCTTTACCACAAGTTTGTCATGTCTTTTAAATTTTTTTTGGTAATTGAAAGATATCTTGCTAGTTTAAATACTTCTCAGTGACTTAAGAAAACAGTCAAATGATGGTATGATCTTGATGTAGATGATGTCGACAACAAGGATAATGGTGATGTCGATGTAGGTGATGATGGTGACATACATGATGGTGAATTGTGGTGATATGGATGAACGTAATGATGATGTGGCTAAGGATAATGGTGATGTTAATGTAGGTGATGATGGTGACGTAGATGACGATGATGAATTGTGGTGATATGGATGAACGTAATGATGATGTGGCTAAGGATAATGGTGATGTTAATGTAGGTGATGATGGTGACATACATGATGATGAATTGTGGTGATATGGATGAACGTAATGATGATGTGGCTAAGGATAATGGTGATGTTGATGTAGGTGATGATGGTGACGTAGATGATGATGAATTGTGGTGATATGGATGAACGTAATGATGATGTGGCTAAGGATAATGGTGATGTTAATGAAGGTGATGATCGTGACGTAGATGATGATGAATTGTGGTGATATGGATGAAAGTAATGATGATGTGGCTAAGGATAATGGTGATGTTAATGTAGGTGATGATGGTGACATACATGATGATGAATTGTGGTGATATGGATGAAAGTAATGATGATGTGGCTAAGGATAATGGTGATGTTAATGTAGGTGATGATGGTGACATACATGATGATGAATTGTGGTGATGGATGAGATGATGGATATTGTGGTTAATATGGATGATCGCATGAATGATGATGATGGCTAAGGATAATGATGTTGTAATAAGGATAATGGTGATGTTAATGTAGGTGATGATGGTGATGATGATGAATTGTGGTGATATGGATGAACGTAATGATGATGTGGCTAAGGATAATGGTGATGTTAATGTAGGTGATGATGGTGACATACATGATGATGAATTGTGGTGATATGGATGAACGTAATGATGATGTGGCTAAGGATAATGGTGATGTTAATGTAGGTGATGATGGTGACATACATGATGATGAATTGTGTGGTGATATGGATGAACGTAATGATGATGTGGCTAAGGATAATGGTGATGTTGATGTAGGTGATGATGGTGGCGTATGATGATGATGAATTGTGGTGATATGGATGAACGTAATGATGATGTGGCTAAGGATAATGGTGATGTTAATGTAGGTGATGATGGTGACATACATGATGATGATGATTGTGGTGATATGGATGAGCGTAATGATGATGTGGCTAAGGATAATGGTGATGTTAATGTAGGTGATGATGGTGACATACATGATGATGAATTGTGGTGATATGGATGAGCGTAATGATGATGTGGCTAAGGATAATGGTGATGTTAATGTAGGTGATGATGGTGACGATGATGATGATGAATTGTGGTGATATGGATGAACGTAATGATGATGTGGCTAAGGATAATGGTGATGTTGATGTAGGTGATGATGGTGACGTAGATGATGATGATGAATTGTGGTGATATGGATGAACGTAATGATGATGTGGCTAAGGATAATGGTGATGTTAATGTAGGTGATGATGGTGACATACATGATGATGAATTGTGGTGATATGGATGAACGTAATGATGATGTGGCTAAGGATAATGGTGATGTTAATGTAGGTGATGATGGTGACATACATGATGATGAATTGTGGTGATATGGATGAACGTAATGATGATGTGGCTAAGGATAATGGTGATGTTAATGTAGGTGATGATGGTGACATACATGATGATGAATTGTGGTGATATGGATGAACGTAATGATGATGTGGCTAAGGATAATGGTGATGTTAATGTAGGTGATGATGGTGACATACATGATGATGAATTGTGGTGATATGGATGAACGTAATGATGATGTGGCTAAGGATAATGGTGATGTTAATGTAGGTGATGATGGTGACATACATGATGATGATGAATTGTGGTGATATGGATGAACGTAATGATGATGTGGCTAAGGATAATGGTGATGTTAATGTAGGTGATGATGGTGACATACATGATGATGATGAATTGTGGTGATATGGATGAACGTAATGATGATGTGGCTAAGGATAATGGTGATGTTAATGTAGGTGATGATGGTGACATACATGATGATGAATTGTGGTGATATGGATGAACGTAATGATGATGTGGCTAAGGATAATGGTGATGTTAATGTAGATGGTGACGTACATGATGATGAATTGTGGTGATATGGATGAACGTAATGATGATGATGTGGCTAAGGATAATGGTGATGTTAATGTAGGTGATGATGTGACATACATGATGATGGATGATATGGATGAGCGTGATGTGGCTAAGGATAATGGTGATGTTATGAAGGTGATGATGGTGACACATGATGATGATGAATTGTGGTGATATGGATGAACGTAATGATGATGTGGCTAAGGATAATGGTGGATGTTAATGTAGGTGATGATGGTGACATGATGATGATGAATTGTGGTGATATGGATGAACGTAATGATGATGTGGCTAAGGATAATGGTGATGTTAATGTAGGTGATGATGGTGACATACATGATGATGATGAATTGTGTGATATGGATGAACGTAATGATGATGTGGCTAAGGATAATGGTGATGTTAATGTAGGTGATGATGATGTGACGTAGATGATGATGATGAATTGTGGTGATATGGATGAAGCGTAATGATGATGTGGCTAAGGATAATGGTGATGTTAATGTAGGTGATGATGGTGACATAGATGATGATGAATTGTGGTGATATGGATGAGCGTAATGATGATGTAGCTAAGGATAATGGTGATGTTAATGTAGGTGATGATGATGGTGGCGTAGATGATGATGATGAATTGTGGTGATATGGATGAGCAGCGTAATGATGATGTAGCTAAGGATAATGGTGATGTTAATGTAAGGTGATGATGGTGACGTAGATGATGATGATGAATTGTGGTGATATGGATGAAAGTAATGATGATGTGGCTAAGGATAATGGTGATGTTAATGTAGGTGATGATGGTGACATACATGATGATGAATTGTGGTGATATGGATGAACGTAATGATGATGTGGCTAAGGATAATGGTGATGTTAATGTAGGTGATGATGGTGACATACATGATGATGAATTGTGGTGATATGGATGAACGTAATGATGATGTGGCTAAAGATAATGGTGATGTTAATGTAGGTGATGATGGTGACGTAGATGATGATGGTGGTGTAGATAATGATGATGATGGTGACATACATGATGATGATGAATTGTGATGATATGGATGAAAGTAATGATGATAAGGCTAAGGATAATAGTGATGTCGATGTAGGTGATGATGATGACGTAGATGATGGTGGTGGTGTAGATAATGATGATGATGATGATGATGATGCAGATAAGGATAATGCTCATGCTCATGTTAATGTAGGTGATGATGGGATTGTGGTGATGTAGATGATAGTGATGATGATGATGATGATGATGATGATGATGATGATATATTTTCTTTTCTTTCAGAATGTAAGCAGTCATTAATGGTATTACCTCAAACAACATCATAACTGACAATGCCTGCCTCCGATACTTATGAGGTGAGACCTGAAGAGCACAAGCCCTCAGGGAAAGCATTACAGTTTCGGCTGTTGCTATGGAAGAATTACTTAATCCAAAAGCGATCTGTATTTCGAACTTTGCTGGAAATTGGACTTCCAACACTATTTGCTGTGATCCTGATTGGTATTCGACAAATAACAAATGGAACCCCTATCACGAATACCACGTCATGGCCGGTTTGTGAGTTTGAGCAATTGCCACCCCACAAAGTGCCATGGAGAATTGCATATAGTCCAAACAATCCCATCATGGAGAGAATTATGAAGTCTGTTGAACAGAGAATTGGAGTTCGTGCAGGTGGGTATTCTTTCCCTGGATTTGCAGTGAGTGGAGACAAATTTAACCTACACATTGCCAAATGACAGCAAATTACAATGCAAAAGAATTTGTGTATTGTAAATTTGTTATTTTTGTTGTAAATATGTAAGAAAACTCCTCCCTTGATCCTGGTTTTGCATGTTACCATGGTTACCTGGCTGAATTGTGCCCCAGGATAAATAATTCCATCTATTAGTTTGAGCAAACACTTATGGAGATAGTACACTTACCCATCAAATGAGTGAGTGAGTGAGTGTGTTTAGTTTACGCTGCACTCAGCAATATTCCAGCTATATAATCGAGTCTATACGAGACAATCCAGTGACCAACAGCATGAGCATCGACCTGCGCAATTGGGATATGATGACATGTGTCAACCAAGCCAGTGAGCCTGACCACCCGATCCCGTTAGTTGCCTCTTACGACAAGCATGGGTTACTGAAGGTTCATTCTAACCCGGTGTAGCAGGCCATTTCTTCCCCGGTCTAAACTTTCCCTACATTTTCCACTTTCCACAGGGAAGTTTTGTCCTAGGATATTCTTACCCCGGGGAAAGTTTGGGCTAGGCCAAAGTTTCCCCCCTGTTTAAACTGGGATATTTTGTTTCATTTTCTATGAAAAAAAGGGTGGGGGGAGATTCTGGCCTAGCTAGGCTACCTCTCCGCCACCCTTGGTCTTATATCAAAAGGGGGAGAACAAGTTATTACAAACATCTAACCAACAGTAGTTTTGACTTAAAAGTTGGTACACATTTTTGCCAAATAGTCCATTCTGGCCCCTGACTTGGGTGTGGTGATGTGAATGCATACGTTTGAACCGCATGCATCTCTAAATCCATCCTACTCCTGTCACCATTCGTATGAAGACACACTGCATTAGTTCTGCATCTGTCCAAATCATGCCACCATATGATGTAAACATTCAATCGCACATTTGATGGGTAAATAAGATTTAATATACACAGGTTGCTTGCTCTCTTATCATGCTGTTTATTATCTCATATTTGTTGTATATATGCATAAATGTAATGAAACATTATTCACATAAGCTTGTTTATTAATCCATAATCACTTTTGGTGAATTAAATATGATTCAGATATCCATGGGCCAACTATACCCCTTACAGAGATGCCAACCCATATGATTGCATTCGTTATTTTAGTACTCATGTCACAGCGATACATATTGATGCAAAACTTTTTTCTTTAACTTCCTGTTAAGCTAAAGGAAGTGAAAGAAATCATCCATTTTCCTCACTCGTATTCCTTAACTATATTTGCGGATTTAGTTTCCCATTAATACAGTATTGGTATCTCCAGTGGCACAGAAGTATCCTTTAAAGTTGATTCAAGGGTGGGGAAAGTTTGGCCTAGGACAAACTTTCCCTGGGGAAGATTAAGCCGGGGTGGGGAAGTTTGGCCAAGGGGAAAGTTTTGCCTGTTACACCGGACCTTCATGTGTCCCATCAAATGATAAAAGGAAACATTGAGTTTTTAATAAAATTTTCCTCAAGGAGTGTCAGTACTACCACAGTGACAAGATAGTCAGGCTGAGTAACTTAGTTAATAGCATGTGTTCATACATCAATTTTGATGAAATTTTGTGTGCCTTTAGTCCCGAATTAGTGGTAATCTTAATTCATCAGTTAAAGAAAGATTTAGATGTTAGTCTTCAAATCTGTAATTGTGTCACCTGGATTCCTAGTCCTGTTTTTATCCCCCTCAACGCGTTTTGTGGGGGTATTAAAATGGACTCCACCTGTGCATGCATGCGTTTGTCCGTCCGTCTGTGCACATTTGTCTTTTCCGGAGCAGAACTCTAAAACCGTTCAATATTTCTTCACCAAACTTGGCACATAGATAGATCTGGTGATGTACTGGTGCCTTTTGGTAGTTTTGGAATTCTGAATAAGATATTTTAGGTGTTTCCATGGCAACAAGTTCGACTTAGACTGAAATTGATGGTAGTGCTCTTTTCCGGAGCAGAACTCCAAAATCGTTCAATATTTCTTCACCAAACTTGGCACATAGATAGATCTGGTGGTGTACTGGTGCCATTTGGTAGTTTTGGATTTCTGAATAAAATATTTTTGTCATTTTCATGGCAACAAGTTTGACATAGACTGAAATTGGTGATAGTGCTCCTTTCTGGAGCAGAACTTTAAAAACCTTTCAATACTCTACTTCCACTTTTCTATATACACACCTAAATATTTGACATAATCATAACTCATAGACATAATCATGAAGAGTATTTTACCATTGCGGGGGATATTGATGACTTTGTCTTCTTTTTGAATTGAAATTGAAGCTAAGGAGAAATCGTAGCAGAAATCGTATGCGGTTGTTTATGTCAGAGGAATTGTAACCAAGGTTAAATGATTGCAGTGCAGATTGTGTCCCTTTGTCTGGCCAGGATCCTATGATATTTGGTTCCTTGTACTCTGTTTGGGATCCATGTCTTTTTGCAACAATATGCCAATGGATCTCACCAAACACATTAATGTCTAAGACCGCAATTATTTTGGGCATTCATCTCCTGTGAAGCTGACAAACCTGGTGATAAAACTGAAATACTGTTCGAAGTGACAAAAGCCCATCTTGCTTATTGTTTCAGATGCGGCTTTTGCTACTGAAAATGAGATGGTCACCTTCCTCATGTTTGAAAATGTGACTGTCAACCACACAAGAGATTACCTGGGCGGTGTTGTGTTCGGCAGATTTCTTGATAACTCTGGAGTTCTGGAGCTCCCAAACAAGATAGAGTATACAGTTCGTCTCAGTTCCTCCCCAAGGAATGCTGGGAAACAGAAGTTCTCTTTGAACCCTGACAAGACTGACACGCGATGGAATACTCGGGCTAACTATCCAGTGTTCCAGAGAGTTGGACCAAGGGAAAAGAAGGATGTCTGTGGAGGCTCGCCAGGTAGGACCCAGCCCTCAAAATGAAAATTATTTCTACTTTAACTCCTTCCAAAAATATTGTAGGTAGATAGTTTGTTGTTTTGGTTGTTTTTAAAAGTCAGTAAAATCCTACTTTTAAATGACCTGGTTTATCTGTAGAAAAGCATAAGAAATAGTGCAAATGGTAGAATAAAATAGGACAATCATTGAAACGAAATAGTTATAGTAAACAGATAAAAAGAAATAAAGTAACAGAAATGAAAATCCAGGGTTGTGATCGACAAATCGTTTCTAGCGCTTTGGTATAAGTAAGCCTAACTGTAGAGTTACGACAGGTCGTAATGTAACGATTGCTTTGTGGATCGGAATCCAGACTCTGAAGTTATGTGTTGGAAGCCCATAACTGTAACATCTATTCTATTCTTTCCCCAGGCTACCAAAGAGAGGGATTCCTGACACTGCAGAATGCCATTAGCTATGCTGTGTTTGAGGAACTCGCTCCAAATGAAACCTCAGAGCTCATCCAGAAGACCAAAATGAGTGTACGCCGTTACCCCTACCCACCCTACAATGATGACCCGTTCGTCCTGGTGATACAGAAACAGTTCCCACTCGTCCTGATGTTGAGCTTCATCATCGTAGCTCTTAGTATCGTCAAGGACGTCGTACATGAGAAAGAGAGAAAACTCAAGGCAAAGTTCATGTATATATTTGTAGACCAAGATCTAAAAGAATGTAATGTGTGCTTAAGGCGACAGATTGGTGCAGGATGCAGTTTGCACATTATGGTTTACATTCTGCGTTCTCCACCTTTCTTTAGACCTTGATTCAATGTCTGGGTTAGTGTTGTTTTTATTAACAGGTACTGTAATGCCTACTGTTATATAACACTTGTTCAGACAATCCAGACTTTGTGGACCTGCTCAGACTGTTGCATAACACCTGTTCAGACCATCCAGACTACTTTATTGGACCTGCTCAGACTGTTATTTAACACCTGTTCAGACCATCCAGACTTTGTTGGACCTGCTCAGACTGTTAAATAACACCTGTTCAGACCGTCCAGACTACTTTGTTGGACCTGCTCAGACTGTTGCATAACACCTGTTCAGACCATCCAGACTGCCCTGTTCAGACCATCAGACTGCTTGGTTGGACCTGCTCAGACTGTTATATGACACCTGTTCAGACCATCCAGACTTTGTTGGACCTGGTCAGACTGTTGCATAACACCTGTTCAGACCATCCAGACTGCTTGGTTGGACCTGCTCAGACTGTTATATGACACCTGTTCAGACCATCCAGACTGGTTGGACCTGCTCAGACTGTTGCATAACACCTGTTCAGACCATCCAGACTACTTTGTTGGACCTGCTCAGACTGTTATATGACACCTGTTCAGACCATCCAGACTACTTTGTTGGACCTGCTCAGACTGTTGCATAACACCTGTTCAGACCATCCAGACTGCTTGGTTGGACCTGCTCAGACTGTTATATGACACCTGTTCAGACCATCCAGACTTTGTTGGACCTGGTCAGACTGTTAAATAACACCTGTTCAGACCATCTAGACTGCTTAGTTGGACCTGCTCAGACTGTTGTTATATTACGTAAATAACCTGCTCAGACTGTTATTTAACACCTGTTCAGACCATCCAGACTACTTTGTTGGACCTGCTCAGACTGTTGCATAACACCTGTTCAGACCATCCAGACTGCTTGGTTGGACCTGCTCAGACTGTTATATGACACCTGTTCAGACCATCCAGACTACTTTGTTGGACCTGCTCAGACTGTTGCATAACACCTGTTCAGACCATCCAGACTGCTTGGTTGGACCTGCTCGGACTGTTATTTAACACCGGTTCAGACCATCCAGACAACTTTGTTGGACCTGCTCAGACCATTATATAACACCTGTTCAGACCATCCTGACTACTTTGTTGGACCTGCTCAGACTGTCATTTAACACCAGTTCAGACCATCCAGACTACTTTGTTGGACCTGCTCAGACTGTTATATAACACCTGTTCCAGATGACTTGATAAGACCTGTTCAGACTGTCCTGTTATGTTTTGCTTTCCTGTTTTCAGGAGTCCATGAAGATGATGGGTTTGAGCAACTGGCTGCACTGGATGGCATGGTTCATCAAGTATCTCCTCTTCTCCCTTATCTCCATCATACTGATGACCATCTTCTTCTCCGTGCGTGTTGGACCCAAACATGAGAACGTCATCGGCAACACAGACCCAATCATCCTCTTCCTCTTCCTCACAATCTACTGCATCTCCGCCATCTGCTTCTGCTTCGCTGTCAGTGTGTTCTTCAAGAAAGGTGATACGACATTATTTTACTTCGTTTAATCATAAGCCCAGAATTATGTCCATTTGTTTTTCTAGTTTTACTCCTTTTCAATTGTTTGTCTAAAACCACAAGCGCTATGAATCTGAGACTTTGAATAAATAATGACAGTTATGGTGTTTCTGATACTCCTAATGTTTCTAATGTTCCGAACAGTAGCTTTGTTCCATGTTCCTGACAGTATCTTTGTTCCAGGTTGCTAACAATAGCTTTGTTCCATGTTCCTGACAATACATTTGTTCCATGTTCCTGACATCAACCTTGTTCCAGGTTGCTAACAATAGCCTTGTTCCATGTTCCTGACATCAGCCTTGTTCCATGTTCCTGACATCAGCCTTGTCCCGTGTTCCTGACATCAGCCTTGTTCCATGTTCCTGACATCAGCCTTGTTCCATGTTCCTGACATCAGCCTCGTCCCATGTTCCTGACATCAGCCTTGTTCCATGTTCCTGACATCAGCCTTGTTCCATGTTCCTGACATCAGCCTTGTCCCGTGTTCCTGACATCAGCTTTGTCCCGTGTTTCAGCTAACTCTGCTGCAGCAGCTGGAGGGATCCTGTTCTTCTGCTCCTACATCCCATACTTCTTCATCCAGAACCGGTACGACACCATGACTTGGGGGGAGAAGATAGCAGCCTGTCTTGACTTCCAAGTTGCCATGGCATTTGGCGGTCAGGTCATTGGCATGTTTGAAGGCATAGGTCAGTGTGATGTACGGTGATTTTCCAGAGTAATCATCTTGAGATGAACATGCATGGTTTCATTATTCTTGTCATGCTACAGAATATTTATGCAAAGTTAGACACCACCACTAACCCATTTAATTTAGCATCAGGCAAGTGTAAAGCCATAGGACTACTTGTTTTATCCTCAAAAACAGTAATTGTTTCTAAACTATAAGTCTGGATGAATTTATATTTGTAACTGTCTGTAACATTTACCAGACAATTATGGTACAAAATGCATGCTGAAAATAGCATCTGTCATTATTCAATGAAATTGCAGAACACATTTCTCCAGGACTTCTGTATGTCCCTTCCGATATAGCAACATGTTGGTAAAGTGTTTCTCTGGTTATATGTATGATAAATAACATGTTTCAGGCTTTTAATACAATGGTCAGTGAAATTGAAATCATAGACATGAACTAATGAAGTGATGGTAGGTTGACAAAAGACTATTCTTAGAAGTTACCACTAAATGTTTCTCGACAGGGTCGGGGGTCCAGTGGAGCAATCTGCCTCAGGGTGTGTCAGTGGACGACAACTTTGCTCTGCTCCACATATTCTTGATGATGTTGTTTGACTCTGTCCTGTACTGTGTCATCGCTTGGTATGTGGAAGCCGTCTTCCCAGGAGAATTTGGGGTGCCCCAGAAGTGGTACTTCTTCCTGACGGTAGGTAAACTTCTCAAACTTTAACAAGGGCTCATGGGTCATGGCTAGTGCTCCCATCCTCTTGTGATTACATTACTGCAACCCAATAAAACATGTAGATGTGTATCTGATACTCAGATCCGGATTCTGAAACACACACATAAATGGGTAATATTTTTGGCCAGGATGATTTGGATGTGAGACATGTACAAAGTTATCCAGATCCTAAAACCAATATGTAGTGGTAATATTTTGAGCCTGGTTGATTAATAGTTAATTCGGCCTCAGGAAATATGGATTCACCCAGGCTGTACCATCTCATACTACCAGACATGACTATGTAACAAATTTAGCACACTTTAGAAAGTTTGTGTTCTTTTTGTATGTTTTCTGGAACTGTTTTCATCTGTTCTCTTCTATTTTTGTTGTGGTATGGAGCTCAAAGCGTTTCCCCATAGGGGTCTTTCACAGCAGAACATAATTGAACGATATTTAAAGGGACATAACTCTTGTAGGTTTTTAAACTATGTTTTAAGGGATTTGTTATTTGAAATAATACCACCATTTAGGATATATCCTTAGATACAATCTGCTTCCCCTTCAAAGATAGAAGAATTCATATTCTCAAAATGTTTTGATAAAAACAACTTTTCCTGATAATAATAGCTGAAATCTTCAAGCAAATTTAATTTGCCTCTATTTAGGATACCACTATTTAGGATATATCTTTAGATACAATCTGCTTCCCCATTCATAGATAAAAGAATTCATATTCTCAAAATGTTTTGATAAAAAGAACTTTTCCTGATAATAATAGCTGAAATCTTTAAGCAAATTTAATTTCAATGTCGAAGGTTGCAAACTGTCAAGGTCAACCATACTAACTGTTAAAACAGAGTAAGATGGATTCATACTGCCCTTGAAACCTCTGAGTATGGTTTCATAGGCATTGGATAAGATGGATTTGTACTACGAGTAAATATTTGAATATGGTTTCATATGTATTGGCTGTTAACCAATCAAAAGTGTGCTAATTTGTCTAAAGGGTAATAATTGGATATATCTTTATTGTATGCAAAGTTATGCAGGTCCTGAAACAAATATATGCAGGTCATTTTTTAATTATCTAATATCTCAGTGTGTTGAAAGTTTTGTAGTTTTCTGCTTTATTTCTTTACATTAGTAAACATGCTAAATCTTGCAGGTTTCTTTTGAATACATTCATCTGCTTGCATATAAGACTATATCTTATGTGTGTCTAATTTTAAACTTATCCTATCTCACGGTATGCACCTCTCTTCTTCTTCTACGACCATGTGTGGAAACTGTAGGCTAAGTTGAATCAAAAGTTATCTGGCCTCTTACCCCGGACGTTTGCCCCCACTCCGATAGCAGTACCTGTCAATCATCTCAATAAACGTGCATATCGCTCAGATTATCACGTGAGGGTCTGTGCCTGTCATTCTCTTTCTTGTTGCTACACCGAGTGGACTTGTGTTGTTCTCTGAGTTAGACATTATTTGATTGTCAAGATGGGAAATAAATGGAATCAAAGTTCTAAGAAACGCAAACACTGTGATCAGTGCAACAGCAACTTTTCCGCTGCTGAATTGTATAGGCTGTTGTAGTTGGTCACATCGGTGTTCTGTTTGTTCACGCTTTAATGATGATGTTTTTTCAGAATAATGACGGGTTGTATCTAGACGTAGATTTTTAGGTGGCCTCAAGACTCCTACTTGAGCGAGTATCTCTGTCGTCTCTTTCGTCATCAAACGTCTAATCCCGTCTCCAGACAAGTTTTATCTCCTCCGAGAGTGGTAGTGCTCACAACTTCTGCAGCACAGTCTCGGCCTTCTAACTTGGTACGATTTCACAGACTCCTGGTTTATCTCAGGTGGTTGATTCCAATGCGCCGCTTTGGTTGAGTGCTCCACACCCCTCTGTCATGGTAGGTGCACTTGGTGAAGCGTTCACTTTCATGCGGCGAGTGCAGTCATTTCTGCGCTTTCAACCACAGGGATCAGTTTGTCAGGCATGACGATAGTATCCAGTGCGGCGCTTTCACAATGTATGAAATAAGCCATAAGTCCAGCCAGGTAACTTCAAAATGTTACCAGCCCAAAATGGATTTAACCAGGCCAAATATGGTGAATTTACTGAGATTTATGGAACATATGAAGTTTTTTACCAGACCATCGGGCTGGCTAGCAGTAAATGTAGACCGTCCGTCAGAAATCTAGACCGTCTCGGGCGGTCGGACGGACCATCTTTCATACACTGGCTTTCAACACCTTTCCCGTACCTTGCACCACCTGTCTATGCTCCACCGCCTAGTTCTAGAGCGGCACTTGTTGTCATTACTTTGTTTGTACCAATGGGTCGCTCTCGCTTGACGAGACCAGTGCATCGTTCCACTTCAGTTCACCGCTCTCATTCGGTCCAACTCTTTAGACCGATGCGCCACATTCGATTGGATCAGCACTTCAGCCCAGTGTGCCTTTTTCGATTAGATCAACGCTTCAGACCAGTGCCGTTTTCGATTGGAACAACGATTCAACCTAGTGAATGGTTGTTTGATTGGAACACATTTTCAGTCCAGTACACCATTATTGTATGGTAGGACGTTCTACACGAGTACATCGGTTTTGATTGACTCAGCGTTTTAGATCACACTGCCGAACCGGATCGTCTATCCGATCCAGATCGTCGAACCAACTTAGAGTGCAGAACCGATCCTGAGGGCCGAACCATACCAGTTCGCTGCTCCTATAGTATTCACCGATCCAGTGTGTTCGCTGAACTGTCAGCATTCGCCGAATCATCTGGTTATCTCTATGCGCCTAGCTACTATCATCATGACTTTGTTTGCTAGTTTGCACATTTTGTTTGGCACTTCAGAGAGTACTTTGGGTTTTTGATTGGCTCGTCTCTACACATTAGGTCAATGCACTGTTTTTCAGTCCAGTGCGACGCTTTGGTCCAATGTGCCGTTTTCCTCCAGTGCGTTGCTCTCTAATTATCAACGTTTCCATCCAGTGCATCGTTTCTGGTGGTTGTATAGAGGTAGTAGTTATGTTAGTAGTGCAGGCCTCTACTTTACGACGGCGATTGACGAACCCGGATCTTTAAGATTCCTCCATCATCTACCTTCCGATCTTCACCTTCGATGAATGATTCGATTCAGCGACTCTACCCTTCGTCGTAGATGTCAGCTCTACAACCACCCGGTTTGACATATCTGTCCAGAAACTGGTTGATGTTAAAGGAATGATGATGAGGATGACGAAACAGGCCACGATTACACCCAGCGATACATCATACCGCTGCTTCGAGTAGTCTGTAGTAACCAGACTCAGTGAAGTGGATAATATTCTTGAATATCAAGTTGGCCTAGTATCCACAGTTTCTGCGTGTGGTGTTAACAGTGATGTTTGGTCAAGTAGCTAGTGTCCCTTAACCCGGTCAAGGATGTTATGGGTTGGGACTCGCCTGGTTAACCGAAGACCGTGGTGTCCGTTTTTTTGTCACTTTTTGCCTGTGTGAAGTGTTTACAATGGCGGACTACTGGTTGCTTACCGGAGATTTTTTGATAATTAAAGTGACTATGGAGTGCCCTGACAGACTTGTCTTGGTCATACGGAGCGGATAACTATCCCAGCCTTTAATTGCCAGTGATGTTGGACAGTGCCTTTCCAGGTAAGAGTGATTATGTCGAGTTTCGTCAGTCAGCCGGGAAAAACAGTTTACTGAGGGTGCCAGACAGACAAACGCTTACACGCCAGTGTCCTTTCTTCCACGCATACTCCTGAAACTGCGCAAGACTCAGCGGATGACACTGCTTTTGGTCGCGCCTTACTGGCCGGCCAGGAGTTGGTTCATAGATCTTCAAGAGCTAGCCGATTCAGACCCTCTACGTCTTCCTGAGCGGCTCGTTCTTTTCGTTCATCCACACTCCGATCAACTACATTGGTCTCCGCTCACGCTCCATCTTCACATTTGGCGCATTTACATAAATCGCTCATGGCTAAGGGATATTCAAAGCATGTTGCTACTGCCATTACTACTGCACTGTACCTCCTCTAGGTCACTTTATGATGATAAGTGGAAGAATTTTGAAGCGTATTGCAGGATGAAGGGCATAATATCACCCACTACGGTATCACCACAGATGGTGGCAGAATACCTTCAGCATCTTCGAACCTCTAAGAAGCTTAAAGGTTCTACACTGTCTACCTACCTGGCTGCCCTTAACACAGTTATTGGGACGGCCTCGGGTGTGAAGGTATCCACTGTCCCTGAGCTCCAGTCTCTTCTCAGATCTTACAAACTTACTGATCAGTCCCAGAAGTTCCGGCCTCCAGCTTGGGATCTTTCCGTTGTACTCAATCACCTTTCATCAGCTGATTATGAGCCCTTAGAGGAGAGGGATTTTGAGCATGTCTCTTTCAAGACCTTTTTTTCTGTTGGCCTTAGCGACAGCTGCCCGTTTTTGCGAGTTGCATGCGCTTGACGTCTCTCGGGTGAGATTTGAAAGGTCTAAAGTGCTAAGGTGTTCCTTGGTTTGCAGTGGGATTTTCTTGCCAAAAACTCAATTGCCAGGACAGCCAGATCGCTTTTTCACGATCCCGCCGCTGTCTACTATCCTGGGTCCAGATGACATTGAAGATCTTTCCTTATGCCCGGTTTGAGCATTACAGATTTACCTAGCTGGCTCTAAGGACCGCCGCAGGTTGCCCAAGAGACTATTTATCCTGTTATCCACTGCCTCCGCCTCGGAAGTCTCCCGTACTACCTTGGTGTTTTGGATGAGATCTACAATCCTGCGTGCATATGCCTTTGCGGACCTTCCTCCACCTATGACGGCTAACCCTCATGAGACCTGGGCTTTGGCTTCCACCATGGCGCTTCATAGGAATTGCTCCCTCCAGTCCATCATGGAGGGTTGTTTTTGGAAGTCGGATACCGTCTTTGCCTCACTGCCTTCGGGATCTCTCGGTTACAGATGTGGAAGGTCTGCATCAGTTTGGTCCTTTGGTCCTGGTGCAGCAGTTGTCATCAACCCGTGTTCGCAGATAAAGCAATCCTTCCTTGGTCGGTTTTGCTCTGTACCTGATATAAAATATCGATGTAATCCATATCTTGGTACTTATTTCTCTTGGGCTTAGATCATTCTCACCTATGGGAATAGGGCGTGTCTGCACTGTCATAAGTTATGACTTGATAGACTGTGAGGCCAGTCTTGTGCTACATGCAGAGATGATCGACACTCCGCTTACTGACTTCTAGTCTATGAGCAATTACGTCAGTGAAGTGTTGATTTCCGATTACCTCCATGGTTTTCGAAGCGTTCTGCTCCTAAGTCCTTTCTCACCTTGGTAAGTTAGGGAGATTGGTACTGAATGTTAAACTAGTTGAGCAACCGGGCTATTCCCTCTTTCACCGCCTTCCAGCGTGTGTCTGTGAGGGGTAGTTTCGAAGCAGGGACTGGCCGGAATACCGGGGTCACCTGATAAATCGTGGGGCGGCGGGGCCTACTTGCCAAACTGCGTCCTTTTGCTTGTCAAAAGTTGCGGACTGCCTCCGTGGTGTAGTGGTTACAGCATCCGCCCGGAGAGCGGAAGGTCGCGGGTTCGATCCCCGACCGCATCATACCAAAAGACGTTAAAATATGGTACTTGTTGGTCCCTGCCTGGCGCCCGGCATTAATTGGTACAACAAGGACTGGTCGGCTCGGAGTCAGTATAATGTGTCTGAGTGGGGTATTCATGCCTTCAGTCTGGGCTAGTACAAGCGGCCACACTCACCTCAAAAGTTGCGGCTGAAAACCAAATTAATTCGGGAGCGCCCATTCCCTAGACATTTTGTGCTGTGTAAGCCAAGGGGTTATCTGAAGCAACCCATCACAAGTTGGAGTTAGCATATCGGGAGTTGGTGCTTTCTCCTGGGTTATGCGTCTTCACAGTTGTAAGTATTGACAGGGTAATCTGCGGCCCTCCTACCCACTGTGGGATTGTGCATACCGTGAGATAGGATAAGTTTAAAAATTTGAAAATTTGAATATAAATTGTATATCCATCACGCGATGGATACCCACCCGACCTGCCCCATATCACAGATTACTGGAAGCTCCAAGACGAGAATGACAGGCACAGACTGTCACGTGATCATCTGAGCGATCTGCACGCTTATTGAGATGATTGACAGGTACTGCTATCGGAGTGGGGGCAGAGGTCGGGGGGTCAGAGGCCAGATAACTTTTGATTCAACTTAGCCTACAGCACGTTTCCACACATGGTCGTAGAAGAAGAAGAGAGGTGCATACCGTGAGATAGGATAACTATATAAATATACAATTTATATTAAAATTTTCAATTTGATTATCTACATTTGTCTACAACTGTTTACATTTTTAAAGTTTATTCTCCGCTAGAATCAATGGTGTGTTGAAATATCTTTCCACAGCGGTCCTACTGGTGTGGTACGAAACAGCGAGATGATGTTGATGATAGCAAAGACTTGAACCCTGAACAGGACGATGAATACTTTGAGAAGGACCCAGTGGGAATGAGGCCTGGCATCAGTATAAGGAACCTGAGCAAGGTCAGTGGCAGCACACGAGTGACTTAAAAAGGCCTTCAATTTGTCTCTAGAGTCTTTGAACGACATAGAAGTAATTCACAAAAAGTCAAGAATTTAATGATGTCAACATCTTTATTTTGATGGACAAGATGTTTCGGAGTATATTCTTACTCCTTTATCAGGTGTATGATGAAGAAATAAGAATATTATATTCCAAAGCGTTGTGTCCATCAAAATAAATATGTTGACATCCATAAATCCTTGACTTTCTTTATGTCTCTAGACGAGTCTCTACTAGTAAAAAAGGATGAAATGTATAAGGGAACAGAAAAGTTGGAAGAATTTATCATGATCAACCCTGCTGTGTGCATGTTTATAGAATTGAGAGGATAGAATGAGGACAGAGAAGAAGATGTCAGTACTTGTTATCACCAGGAGGTACAGGGGTGGAAATAACTTTAAAATTGCTAGTGTACTCCGGAACAGTGGCACATGTAAAATCACTAGGCCCTGATAATTTTTCCACTATACCGGCCAATTTCTTGTGGATTTTTAAAAATAAACAACATAAATAACATTGGAAAGTCAACTGGACACCGGTACAGTGTGATATACAAATTTGCTTGCCCGACAGAAAAAAACACTGGACTCGGACGTCGGGCAATGGGTTATTTCCACCCCTGAGGTATGTCACTGAGGAGGTATTAGTGTCAGACATCATACTTATTCACTTTACACCTGTTTCCATATTTCTTTCCATCAATGCATTGCCTGGTATGTGTGTTTAATATTTAACACCACATTTGACATTACCCCATGATTTTAAACAACCCATGTTTGTCTGACAGGAGTTCGGCACAGGGGAAACTTGTAAGAAGGCTGTGTCTGGAATGACCCTTGACATGTATGAAGGGCAGATAACTGCCCTTCTCGGCCATAACGGTGCAGGGAAGACCACCACAATGTCAATGCTTACGGGTAAGATGTCGTCTGTTTTCACCAAGTAGACAGTAGCAACCCTTTATAAGGGACACGGGCGATGGGGTAGCCTAGTTAGTAGTTAAAGCGATTGCTCGTCATGCTGAAGGCCTGGTTTTGATTCCCCACATGGGTACAATATTGGAAGCCCATTTCTGGTGTTCCCCGCCGTAATATTGCTGGAATATTGCTACAAGCGGTGTAAAACGAAAACTCACTCAATCATTATAGGGGACACAAGTGCCCCTGTGGTGAAGGGGCTGTAGTATGCTGAGCAGAGTTAACTTCCTTTGTCATGCAGGATCCTGTGAATACGGCTTCAGTCATGATGCTTGCTTGGTTTATCAGTGTGGAAAGCATATGTGACCCGTGTCACTATGGGCTTTCCTCCATATTGAGCAGATATTACTTGATACAAGTGAAACAATCCTAGGGCATCATTAAACCCAGCTTACACTCTCAATAATGTTAATGAAAATTTATACATCCTTTGTATAGGAATTCTTTCACATCAGAAAGCTCTTTCTTTCACAGTGTTTTTCCTTAAACATCCTTTACTGAGGCTGTTCTGTTAGAAAGTATGTTATGTTCAAATATGTGTGTTTTATTGAAGAGATGATTTGTACCAATATTTGGAATCAAATTTGGTTCTAAAATTATTAGTTAACAGTATCTTTAAATGAGCTCTCTCTCGACCCCAGACAACTTTTATGTTTAGCACAAGTCCCTCAATGAAACCCCATTCTGTCCGTGCAGGGTTCATCCCTCCAACAGGGGGCACTGCCCGGGTCAACGGCTACGACATCCGAGAGGACATTGTCAGCGTCAGAAGCAGCCTCGGTCTCTGTCCTCAACATGACATCCTGTTTGACAGTCTCACGGTGGAGGAACATCTCATCTTCTTTGCCAAGGTTACTAACCTTTCTGAAGTTGTCTTTGATCAACTACTCTGTCAGAAATTAATGTTAACCCTCTGTACCATTTTCTTCAAATGCTTACATAATTCAAAGACATGTAGCCACAGTAACCACAAATGGCAAATACATCTGAGTGACATTGCTTCTGCAATGATAGCTGAGCATTTGCATTTCTTTTACCAGAACATGGAATTTAGACAGAATGTTTACACATTAACGCGTTTACCTCATTGTGTCAGTTTGCTTGCCTCATGTTCCAAGTGTCAATACTAAATATTTTCATTGTTATAACAGCTTAAAGGTGTACCTTCAGCCAAGGTGGCATCTGAAGTGGACCAGATGTTGAACAGCGTCGGACTTCTGCCCAAGAGGAAGGCCCAGTCACGAACTTTGTCAGGTGGCCAGAAGAGGAAGCTGTCTGTGGGCATAGCGCTCATAGGTGGATCTAAGGTAGCTCATCTCATCCCTGGGCATAGCTCTCATAGGTGGATCTAAGGTAGCTCATCTCATCTCTGGGAATAGCTCTCATAGGTGGATCTAAGGTAGCTCATCTCATGTTTTGGCATAGCGCTCATAGGTGGATCTAAAATAGTTCATCTCATGTGTGAGCCTAGCGCTCATAGATGGATCTAAGATAGCTCATCTCATCTCTGGGCATAGCTCTCATAGGTGGATCTAAGGTAGCTCATCTCGTCTCTGGGCATAGCTCTCATAGGTGGGTCTAAAGTAGCTCATCTCATCTCTGGGCATAGCTCTCATAGGTGGATCTAAGGTAGCTCATCTCATGTGTGGGCATAGCTCTCATAGGTGGATCTAAGGTAGCTCATCTCGTGTGGGCATAGCTCTCATAGGTGGATCTAAGGTAGCTCATCTCATGTGTGGGCATAGCTCTCATAGGTGGATCTAAGGTAGCTCATCTTGTGTGGGCATAGCGCTCATAGGTGGATCTAAGGTAGCTCATCTCATCTCTGGGCATAGCTCATAGGTGGATCTAAAGTAGCTCATCTCATGTGTGGGCATAGCTCTCATAGGTGGATCTAAGGTAGCTCATCTTGTGTGGGCATAGCGCTCATAGGTGGATCTAAAGTAGCTCATCTCATGTTTGGGCATAGCTCTCATAGGTGGATCTAAAGTAGCTCATCTCATGTGTGGGCATAGCTCTCATAGGTGGATCTAAAGTAGCTCATCTCATCCCTGGGCATAGCTCTCATAGGTGGACCTAAGGTAGCTCATCTCATCTCTGGGCATAGCTCTCATAGGTGGATCTTAGGCAGCTCATCTCATCTCTGGGCATAGCTCTCATAGGTGGATCTTAGGCAGTTCATCTCATCTCTGGGCATAGCGCTCATAGGTGGATCTAAGGTAGCTCATCTCATCCCTGGGCATAAGCTCATAGGTGGATCTAAGGTAGCTCATCTCATCTCTGGGCATAGCTCTCATAGGTGGATCTAAGGTAGCTCATCTCATCTCTGGGCATAGCTCTCATAGGTTGATCTAAGGTAGCTCATCTCATCTGTGGGCATAGCTCTCATAGGTGGATCTAAGGTAGCTCATCTCATCTCTGGGCATAGCTCTCATAGGTGGATCTAAAGGTAGCTCATCTCATCTGGGCATAGCTCTCATAGGTGGATCTAAGGTAGCTCATCTCATCTCTGGGCATACTCATAGGTGGATCTAAAGTAGCTCATCTCATGTGTGGGCATAGCTCTCATAGGTGGATCTAAGGTAGCTCATCTCATCCCTGGGCATAGCTCTCATAGGTGGATCTAAAGTAGCTCATCTAATCCCTGGGCATAACTCTCATAGGTGGACCTAAGGTAGCTCATATCATTTGTAGGCATAGCTCTCATAGGTGGATCTAAGGTAACTCATCTCATCTCTGGGCATAGCTCTCATAGGTGGATCTTAGGCAGCTCATCTCATCTCTGGGCATAGCTCTCATAGGTGGATCTTAGGCAGTTCATCTCATCTCTGGGCATAGCGCTCATAGTTGGATCTAAGGTAGCTTATCTCATCACTGGGCATAGTGCTGATAGGTGGATCTAAGGTAGCTCATCTCATCTCTGGGCAAAGCTGTCATAGTTGGATCTAAGGTAGCTCATCTCATGTGTGGGCATAGCGCTCATAGGTTGATCTAAGGTAGCTCATCTCATCTCTGGGCATAGCTCTCATAGGTGGATCTAAGGTAGATTATCTCATCTCTGGGCATAGCTCTCATACGTGGATCTAAGATAGCTCATCTCATCTCAGGGCATAGCTCTCATTGGTGGATCTAAGGTAGCTCATCTCATCTCTGGGCATAGCGCTCATAGGTGGATCTAAGGTAGCTCATCTCATCTCTGGGCATAGCTCTCATAGGTGGATCTAAGGTAGCTCATCTCATCTCTGGGCATAGCTCTCATAGGTGGATCTAAGGTAGCTCATCTCATCTCTGGGCATAGCTCTCATAGGTGGATCTAAGGTAGCTCATCTCATGTGTGGGCATAGCACTCATAGGTGGATCTAAGGTAGCTCATCTCATGTGTGGGCATAGCTCATAGGGTGGATCTAAGGTAGCTCATCTCATGTGTGGGCATAGCTCTCATAGGTGGATCTAAGGTAGCTCATCTCATGTGTGGGCATAGCTCTCATAGGTTGATCTAAGGTAGCTCATCTCGTGTGGGCATAGCTCTCATAGGTTGATCTAAGGTAGCTCATCTCATGTCTGGGCATAGCTCTCATAGGTGGATCTAAGGTAGCTCATCTCATGTGTGGGCATAGCTCTCATAGGTGGATCTAAGGTAGCTCATCTCATGTGTGGGCATAGCTCTCATAGGTGGATCTAAGGTAGCTCATCTCATGTGTGGGCATAGCTCTCATAGGTGGATCTAAGGTAGCTCATCTCATGTGTGGGCATAGCTCTCATAGGTGGATCTAAGGTAGCTCATCTCATGTGTGGGCATAGCTCTCATAGGTGGATCTAAAGTAGCTCATCTCATGTGTGGGCATAGCTCTCATAGGTTGATCTAAGGTAGCTCATCTCATGTGTGGGCATAGCTCTCATAGGTGGATCTAAAGTAGCTCATCTCATGTGTGGGCATAGCTCTCATAGGTGGATCTAAAGTAGCTCATCTCATGTGTGGGCATAGCTCTCATAGGTGGATCTAAAGTAGCTCATCTCATCTTTGGGCATAGCTCTCATAGGTGGATCTAAAGTAGCTCATCTCATCTCTGGGCATAGCTCTCATAGGTGGATCTTAGGTAGCTCATCTCATCTCTGGGCATAGCTCTCATAGGTGGATCTTAGGCAGTTCATCTCATCTCTGGGCATAGCGCTCATAGTTGGATCGAAGGTAGCTTATCTCATCACTGGGCATAGCGCTCATAGTTGGATCTAAGGTAGCTCATCTCATCTCTGGGCAAAGCTGTCATAGGTTGATCTAAGGTAGCTCATCTCATCTCTGGGCATAGCTCTCATAGGTGGATCTAAGGTAGCTCATCTCATCTCTGGGCATAGTAGGTGGATCTAAGGTATCTCATCGCATCTGTGGGCATTGCACTCATAGGTGGATCTAAGGTAGCTCATCTCATTTCTGGGGTTGCTCTCATAGGTGAATCTAGGGTAAATCATGTTTGTGGGAAACCTGTCTGCTGGCATAGTATGGATTCTTTCAATGGGAAAACTGTGTGGTCATAAAAAGGTGTAGGAATACTTCATGTAAGTAAGCTAAGAAATACGAAGAAGTAAGAGCCCACACATCCGTTAAAAAGTGAAAGAGCCATCCAGGTGACAGTTGTATATTTTAACTGATCATCAGGTGGTGATCCTGGACGAGCCTTCTTCTGGCATGGACCCAGATGCTCGTCGGCACATCTGGACCGTGCTGCAGAACAACAGGGCAGGCCGGACAATGGTACTGACCACCCACTTCATGGATGAGGCAGATCTCCTAGGTGACAGGATTGCCATCATGGCGGAAGGAGTTGTCAAGTGTTGTGGTAGCTCCCTCTTCTTGAAGAATAAATACGGTAAGATGGAATTGATAAATAATGTAATCTGTTACTGAACAACTGTTATATTCCCTGTGTCAAGGATGCATTTTATATGCTTGTCTATTCCACCCTTCTGTCCCTCCTGAAGGTAGGGCTACCACAGTGTAGTGTGTTTAGAGTTAACTGCCCTTGTCTGTTTCCTCCAACTCTCCTTCCTGGAGGTGCCTGTTATCACAGTAAAGCATGTTTAGAGTTACCTGCCCTTGTCTGTTTCCTCTAACTCTCCTTCTTGGTGGTGCCTGTTATCACAGTAAAGTATGTTTAGAGTTACCTGCCCTTGTCTGTTTCCTCCAACTCTCCTTCCTGGTGGTGCCTGTTATCACAGTAAAGTATGTTTAGAGTTACCTGCCCTTTTCTGTTTCCTCCATCTCTCCCTGCAGTAAGCATTGGGTACCACAACACAGTGTGTTTAGGGTTATCTGCCCTTGTCTGTTTCCCCAATCTCTCCCTGCAGTAAGTATTAGCAGGGAGACTATATAAGGGGGAGTGGTCACTCCTCGGAAAGCCCCTAAGCTATGCCTCGGCTCGTCACGTGACCAGTGTAGCCAATATGGCGGCAGCGTAGTTTTTAAGATTGAGCCCGGTTTATTTTCAACAGCTGAGTACATACGCTGAGTGTTGTGACAACTGAAAACCTACATGTAGAAGATAAGTTACCTATTCTGTCACTTCATTTTAAGTCAAATAATTGTTATTAGTGTCAGTATTAGTACATTAGATTTGTAGTAAAGTTTCAAGTCGGCATGTTGTAGCTCACTGGCTTCAATTCTCAGTACACAGCGAAGAAAGACTAAATTCTTTCGCTAAAAACTTCTTTCACATATTCATTTAATTTTTAGAAGGGAATATACCTATAGTTGAAAGGTGTTTGCAAGTAATAGTGATAGTTTTATAACTAAAAATAATTTGTTAGGGTGTATTTGAGGTGTGTGAAAAATATGACATATCGCCGATCTGCCATTGAAATACTACAGGGCATTGTTTGAGTGTTTCTGGTTATTGTTCTAAAACATCTTTCACATGCACCTTTAATTTTTATGAGGGGAATATACCATCAGGTGAAAGGTGTTTGCAAGTGATAGTGATAGTTTTATAATTTAAATTCTTTTGTTAGGGTGTATTTGAGGTGTGTGAAAAATATGACATATCGCCGATCTGCCATTGAAATACTACAGGGCATTGTTTGAGTGTTTCTGGTTATTGTTCTAAAACATCTTTCACATGCACCTTTAATTTTTATGAGGGGAATATACCATCAGGTGAAAGGTGTTTGCAAGTAATAGTGATAGTTTTATAATTTAAAATTTTTTTGTTAGGGTGTTTTTGAGGTGTGTGAAAAATATGACATATCGCCGATCTGTTCCGATACGCCATTGATGCTTGTGATGCTTGAGTGTTATAGTTCTAAAACTTCTTTCTTTCTTGTTGATCTTAGTATTTGACAAAACTGGAAAGGAGTTTACAACGCTTTGTGATAGTTCTAAACTTTCTGTTTTTGAGGGGTCTGTGACAGTGTCGGTTAACATTCTGTCAATGCCCATGTCATTCCACACATGCAATAAGATATCTGAATTAGTTACTAATGTAAAAAAACGTCTCAAAGTAGATTTTTTTAAAAAAGGACAGCTGATGTTAACACATGTGTTCTACCGATAGTTTTGCATTCTTTAACATGTTTGGGGAGGGATGTCCGTGGTGTATCATTTATTCTTTCATTCATTCACATATGTTCTTTTTCTTTTGTTCTTTTTCTTTATTTCTTTCATTAATTCACATATGATTCTTGCTCTAAATTCATTCATTCATTCATTGTAAAATTCCGACTGATACAATACACTGGCTGAAGTACTGTTAAACGCAGCCGAAGTTGCGCTTGGAACGAACCAAGTCACCGTGTGCGTTGGAGCATGACAAGGCCCATGTTAATGTACCCCAGGTACCTTTCTGTATACAGAAATGTACCCGAGCCAAAGTAAATGTACAGAAACGTACCCGGTACCCTAAACGGCAGACGAGTCCACTTTTCTCAAGCCGAAACCGAAACCGGTTTGTGGTGTTGTTCCAGATTGCCTGATTTCGAGCGCTTTCACTGCATCGCCGAGTATTCACTTTGTATTCTAACGCAATCGAATATGGAGCTCATACGACAGTATGAGAGTTCCTATCAAGAAGATGATGACGATTTCCCATGTTCATTTACGACAGCTGTTGGTGGGAACGATTTGGAAACGGCCCTTTCAGGACACCCAAAAGTTTCGCTTCTGAGAGAACAGCGCTGGATATGTACGAAGTATGTCACCCCCATTGTAGACAGCTTTCAATTTTCTGTAAAACAGACCACAGGGGACATCATGCTCAAGAAAAAAGATTGTCTGATATTTTATAACTGACAGCGGAAGGGAGGTATATAGTTCTTCCAGACGAACACACACTGCCATGTTGAATATTTCCGCGGTTTGACAGGCAGGAATAATTTTTAGTACGCGTTCGAGAAACCGGTTTAGCGCTCATCGTGATGCAGAATGGGATCGTCCTAGGGTACGATTCTGTACATCTACTTTGGCTAGGGTACCTTTCCGTATACAGAAAGGTACCTGGGGTACATTTCTGTAGTACCTGTGCTGACAACGACCCCTTCAGCGTAAGTATAAGTACCACAACACAGTCTGTTTAGAGTTATCTGCCCTTGTTTACACCATCCCCCTTCTTCCTCCTGTAGGCGCTGGTTACCACATGGTCATAGTGAAGGAACCTCAGTGTGTGGTGGGGAATATCACGGCTCTTGTCACCAAGTACATCCCTGAAGCCGAGCTGGAGAGCAACATTGGTGCGGAGCTGTCTTACATCCTGCCCCAGGAGAGCTCCCACAACCTCGAAGAGCTGTTCAGCCAGCTGCAGGATGAGCAGAGGCAGCTGGGCATCTCCAGCTTCGGGGCATCAGTTACCACCATGGAGGAGGTCTTCCTCAGGTGGGGACCATCATACAACAATGTTGTAAGGCAGCAGTACTTAGCATGTGTCATAGCAGAATCAGATCACTAATTACAGGTTTTTCTGATCAAATTAGACAAAGCTTTATGGGATTAATTTAGACTCGTGTTTTGTCACGGTTGATTTTAGATTTATAGAAAAACATCTGAATCTGAGAAATATGTAATGATTGTTTTATTGCAAATGCAAAACATGTTTATGAATGCATTAACCACATTATGTATTTTGTTTGAATTTTGTTACAGTTCATTTCTAGAAATCAAAATAATATATTGAACTGAAATCTTGGAAGGTTCATTTGCCGGTAGGTGGTCCTGATCACTTGATTATCTAGTTATTCTGAAAAAATATTGAATTATGTGACAAGACAAATTGTTTGGCTCCCCATGTCATACAAAAATTGATCTGACTGAAAAATGTTCTGACACACCCACAGATCCTCCCTTGAGTGAATAACAATATTTGGTCCCTTGGCATGAAGAGGGATTGGCTTGAAATTGTTTCCACCACTGTTTCATGCTTTCTGTTTCACCTTACAGAGTCGGAGAGAGCAGCGACATCAATCTCCGAGAGAGGTTGCAGAAAGGAGCTGTAAACCTGTCAGTCATGAACAGCTCCGAGGTTGCAAATGGAGGAGATAACATAGCATTTGACATGTCTTCGAACAACTCCATCAACACACACCTAGGTACTCCATGAGCAATATTTAGAAAGAGTTACTTAGTAAAGTAGCGTTTGTTGTATGCTTGCTTGTTTATACCGAAGAGCACCAGCCTGCACGACCTTGCCTGTTGGCTTCAAGCGCCACTGAAAATACTTCTTGAGGGTAAATTTAAGCCACAACACATAAGGATTTATGTAAATCTTGAAAATTTAATAGTGCTTGGAGACAACATTACACATGTTTAACTATATGTTTCTGATATTTGACTAACATTTCACTAATTTCACACATTTTACAATTCTCTTTTTCACATTATCAGCTAATCAGTGCAGGAAATAACTGATGATCTGTATTAGGCCAGACCAGTTTTATTTCTTGTTTTACGGATAACAGTCCTCAGATAACCTAAAGGCAGGAGTGAAAAAATATATAAATAAAATCACCAGTCAAGGTAATATACCTTTTAAATATTAAAAGTATCTTACTTTTGGTAATCTATGAAGTGTATATGGGGCAAAAAAACAATGAAAAAACCATTCTCCTTTAAGTTTTCATATTTTTTCTTATCCTGACTCATGCTTATTTGCTTGTCTTCTTCTTCTTGCGAACCTAGTGGAACACTTGTATCTCCCAATTGAAGTTCCCTTCAATAAAAAATCACTCATTAGTACCCATCACGAGTTACCTCCCTTCCACAAGCTCGGGAACGAGGGCGCCACCCGAACCCATGTGCCTCACTCTCTCCTTCTTCGCCCAGTGAGCAAGACGTGAGAGCACCTGTGTCTCCCTGCACACTATATCCTTTATTTATATTTAGTTTGTTACCTCTTATATTCATCTATAGAGGTGTAACTAGTATCATTATTCAACATGCATTGATAATTATTCGTGTTTCTGCTGCTTGATTCACGGTTCGCGTGTTTACTCAACAGTTTGCTAATAAAAATCTGCACTGTTTGTAAATTACGCTACTCTGCTACCGATCCACATTTAAAATGCCCTAGTTGCATTACTCCATGTTCTATTGTTTCTCGTTGTAAATTATGTATTAATTTACCAATTTCTGCCTTTGATAAATATTTATGTTCCGTTTTGAGACGGAAGGCAGATAAATCACGGAAACAACCTTCAGTCATGGCTAATAGATCGGAGTCAGATATATCCTGAGTTACCTTTGGGGGATAAGCGTGGGACGCAGTCCGCTATATCCTAGAAGCGACCTACTTCCCAGGACGTTCCTTCATCACAGTCTAAAACTAGAAGAGCTTCCACGTCGTCTCAACGTACGCTCCGAACCCCCAGGTCTACAGCCTGGTCAAAGGGAAATCCACGAAGGCTACTAAAAAACTTTGCTTCTGATATTCAGAATTATGTTTATATGATGATGACATTTCGATTATCATTCCAGATGTATGTCATAAGAAGTGACCAGTATCGGCTACCGTCACTTCAGCGCAGATCAACATGCAATCAGAGATGCCTACGCTGACGCCGGAGATTATAACTGAGGGTCTCGTCACTATCACACAGAGGACACCCTCAACGCCAGCGCAGACCATCCCAGACGACCTGGTCAACCACATAATGAGGGTGATGGAAGACTGCTACGGCTTACAGAGGCCTCAGAGCCACGGGCCTCAGAGCCCACCCCATATTAAGTCATACAGGGCCTCAGAGCCCGCCTTGGCTTCGCGTAGGGCCTCTGAGCCCATAGACGCGCCTCCGCGAAGGGCAACCCTGCCCGGAGTGAGCTCTTTGCATAAGGTATCCCAGGCCGCCTCCGTGAAGGAGCCAGAGCCTCACCTTTTGCAAGAGGCTTCGCGGAGAAGGAGCTTCTTCGCCAAGCACGCACCTTGTCATGCCGAAGGTCGTCCAGCGCAAACAAGCTCATATGTCGGATCGGACACTGACTCCAGACATTGGCGTAGGGGCTTGAAGGCTAAGTGGTTCTACATCGCCTAGAAGGCGATCAGCGTAGCCCTCAGCGTTCAAGAAGTCCAGAGCGTCCAGCGAAGCCATCACCGTTCATGAAGCCCACAATCTCCGCGAAGGATGTCTTCTCCATGGTCTACATACACTAGCCACTCGTCAGTCCGTTCTCCTCAGTCCTCACATAGATCTTCTTACAGATCGAGGACTCCGACATACGACCATACGTCAGAGGAGGACGATGGTATCATTTTCTCAGAGGCTGAGATAAGGTATTGGATGGTAAACGAATTACAACTGGCCTCTCCCTCTAAGAACGAGGATACAGCCCAAGCTTACCTGATGTTAGATGATGATGTAGATCATATCACCGTGCCTCCTATGGATCCTATCGCAGCCGTTCCTGCTAAACTGGATACAGTTAGATACCATTTCCAGAAGGATGTTCTTTGGACTCAACAGATCTAGGACTGTTAACGAAACTCTCATCACCAAGTTCAAGAACTCCACGGATGAGGAAGACAGGATGATCTATTCAGCTCTACTTATGCAGAAAAAAGATCAACAATTCCTTACAGACCATCTTTCAGCACTTACTGAAACTACTACCATGACACGTCGGCAAGGATTACTAGCCTCCTGCTCTTGGAATAAACAATTCACATGGTAAGTATAGATCTGCAGGACGCATACCTACACATTCCGATTCATCCCAGTTCAAGGAAATATCTGAGATTTATGCTAGACGGCATACACTACCAATGGAAAGTACTTCCCTTCGGAATCACTTCGGCCCATGGATATTCACAACAATAACCAAGCCTATTGTCTCATACCTACATCGTCAAGGCCTGCGGAATGCATTTTACCTAGACGACGGTATACAGGTGGATCCAGATCCACAGCGTCTCAGACTACAGCTGAACTTTACAATCAAGCTACTAACGCAGTTAGGCTGGTTAGTAAATCTACTCAAGTCGGACCTAGAGCCCACGCAGGATCTGCAGTTTCTAGGTATACGATTCCTTACAGCGCAGAATCGTATGGTAGTCCCGAGGACAGATGGATCAAGATACAACAACTGATCCCCAAGCCCTACTCTCTCCGTTACCACTACGTCAGTGGCAGAGGCTACTGGGACTACTCACATCAGCTCAAGACTTGACACTCAGAGGCAGGCTTCAATTACGTCCATTACAAGTCCTCATCAATGCCCATCTCGAGGACCCTCTACCGTTCAGTCTACCAGATTACATCAAACCACATCTACTCTGGTGGACCAAGAGATTGAATGTTTGCACAGGCGCGCCTCCTTAGTAGAGCCGAATCGAAAACACATCTCTACGTGGATGCGTCACTAAAAGGTTGGGGAGCCCACCTTACCGGCAGGACAGCGTCAGGCCTATGGAGCATTCAATAGAGCTTATGTCACATAAATCTGCTAGAGATGCAAGCAGTCATAAACGCCATTGGTCACTGGAGCAACCTATTACAGAACGCTCAGTTAATGATTCACACAGACAACTCAACAGTGGCGTTTTATGTGAACAAACAAGGGTCAACAAGATCACTGAATCTTCTCACTCGATGTTTCAAACTGTTCGATTTAGTCGACAGTCTAAACATACGTATCAAAGCCTGCCACATTCCAGGAGCAAAGAATGTGTTAGCAGACGCTTCTCTCTCTCGCCGCACCAACCGTCGCCCGACAGAATGCATGCTCTCCACACAGAGATATTCGATCAGATAATCATGGAAATAGGATCTCCTCTGATAGACCTATTTGCCACCCGATTCAACAATCAACTGACAACCTTCGTATCGCCAGTGCCAGATCCGTTAGCTTGGGCAACGGACGCACTAAGCATATCATGGGAGGGACTAAACGCGCGACGCTTCCCCCTCCTCGTTAATCCCACAAGTCTTGCTAAAAATCAGTCAAACGAAGAGCCTCGATCTGATTTTGGTCTCGCCTTACTGGCCAGCGAGAACGTGGTTTCCAGACCTCATACTAGGAATCGGAAAACCAGTACTTCAGCTCCCACTACGCTCCAATCTACTGATACATCCGCACACCTAACAAGTGCACAAAACACCAGAAGCATTCCGACTTCACGCGGTGGATTGTATCAAGGCATGTTTGAATAAGAGAGGTTATTCCACCAGAGCGCTAAGGCGGTCACGCTTTGCACTACGTAACTCTACTCATATCTTATAACGATGACAAATGGCTCAGATTTGTCAATTATGCTGCTAAGAAAGGATTTTCAGCCAGATTTGCTACACATCCTCAAGTGGCAGATTTCTTATGTTTCCTACGTCAAACTAAGAATCTAAAAGGATCTACACTGTCCACTTATCTTGCAGCCATAAGTTCAGTCATAACAATGAGAACGGGCGGCCAAATTGACCAAAACACCGGAGTTACTCGCGCTTTGTTACGTGCCTTTCGATTGGAAGACCAGAAACGGAAGTTTCAAGCACCAGCCTGGGATCTAAATGTGGTACTTCAACACCTCAAAAGTGAGGCTTACGAGCCATTGTTATCTCAAGTCCATATGAATCATTGACCCACAAAACCTTATTCCTGCTACCGTTAGCCACTGCAGCCAGGATGTCTGAAATTCACGCTTTGGATTACGAGAGAACACGATTTAATGATATTCATAACATCGGCTCATCTGGGACTTCGCTGGGATTTTATAGCGAAAAATCAACTACCAGGTCAACCAGACAGGTTGTTCCATGTCCCAGCTCTCTCATCCATACTTGGACCGCAGGATCATACGATGGACTTATCACTTTGCCCTGTAATGCGTGCACTGAAAATATATCTCCAAAGATCCAAGCAAAGTAGAGGGAAATTCAAAAGATTGTTTATCCCTATATCTACCGCTTCACAGACAGAAGTGTCACAAGACTACCATTTCTATTTGGATCAGAACTGTCATACTAAGAGCCTACAAGGCAGCTGGACTGGACCCTCCAAGTGCTACTAATCCTCACGAAATTAGAGCACTAGCTTCAACTGTGGCTTTACATGGAAATTGCTCATTGAATACCATCATGGAGGGATGTTTTTGGAGATCCGATATGGTGTTTGCCAACCACTATCTGAGAGATATCACCACCAAGGATGTCTCAGGTATCCACCATTTCGGTCCCATGGTCCTCGCTCAACAGTTGACAGTTCCACGTAGAAGATAAGTCTATCTTGTTAATTTTATACTTATCTGATAACAGTACTAATAGCTACATGCTATCTATATATATTTGCTTAAGTTAAAATATTATCTTAAGCTCAGTACTATGATTTATATCATAATATATATATACCTACAACTCTTACGAGTTTCTACTATTATATATATGTTCAGCTTAAGTTCTTCCTTAAGCTCAGTCATATGTTCATTTCATAACATGTATAAGTTAACAAACTATCAGTAGTTGGTTACTATTATACAGCTTAAGTTATCTTTATACCTTAAGCACAATTCTGTTATAGCTTATATATATACATATTGTAAGCTTACTACTTTGGTTCTTATAAAAGTATTCATTATAAACTATCAACAGTTTATACTATCACATTAATGGCCTTAGCTTAATTAATGTTCTATATACTTTTATTATATGCAGTAAATTGTAATAACCTTCTTTAAAGGCAGCTGTTATATTAACAGCAGGAATTCAGTTCAGTGCCTTCATGAAGTTCCCATACGGTTATTACAATCATATCACTTCAAATCACTAATTAGTAAAATCCAAAGTATATATAATCCCACATCCTAATCCGTAGGATTCTACAAGCAAATAAGCATGAGTCAGGATAAGAATAAAAATATTAATTTTACTCTAAAAATTTCATTTTTGGCAGATAAATTTTTTTTTTTTCTTATTCTTGAAAAAATACGACCAGTGGATCCGTGAAACAAGAATGAAATTGGTCTGGCCTTAAAGTATTTTAATAATTTTTATAAAAAGACCACATTTTGCAGGTAAAAAGGGTTTTCATATTAAAGGCACAATGTCACACCACACTTCTCTAAAAATACATAATGCATTTATCTCAATAATACCATCAGCCCTCAGGGAAGCTACCATATAATTCCCCCCAAAATATTTATGTAAATTACAATATTGAATTAAAAAGTTTGAATGAATGAATGCAACATTGCATTAAATAAACTCTCGCGCCCTCTAATGGCCAAACATTATTTCAAGCGGACCCCATAGAGTTATGTCCCTTGGAGTGCTCTTTATGAACATCCTACGCACAACGTGTGATTGAAACCAGTTCGGCAAACGCAGCATGCGACAGTTTTCGATGTACAAAGCAGTTGTTTACATTCCATATATGGCAAGTGATATCTGTTTGGAAGTTTCAAATATCGATTTGAGGCATGTTGTAAGGGATAATAAGACATTTGATATAAAATATAAGTCCAAATATTGTCAAAAATGTGTGACATTGTGCCTTTATGATGCAGTCAGATTTTCCTGTACAGCCATCACACTAATGTACTAACAATATATACTTCTAATGCTGGAAACTTATCATAAGAAATGAGGTGATGCTTGAATTTCAGATTGTCAGTCATACGAGCTTGATACTCGCAACAGTGTCGTCAGTGCCAGCCGTAAGTGCTGTGTGCTCACCTGTCTGTCCCCCCACATGATGCTGCTTGTGTACAACTGCTTATATATGGTTAAATTTACTATTACAATTATATGATTTGTAATTACATAAATGAGAAATCCTGTCATCGTAAAAGCAATCTTATTAAACTATATAATCAAATTGTTGATGTAACAATTACAAAAGCTGCATATTTATTTCTATTGATCATACAGCTTGTTAATTATATCACATGCTGAATAATATTGTTGTATCTTCCGTATATATTTTATATGAACATCAATGTATCTACTTCTGCATACCTATTGAATTTCTCTTTATATACCATGGGTTATAATGAATATATACTCAGTTCCAAAAGAAACGCAAAACATGTAAAACTGTGAAACAGTGGTGAATAAAGAGATGTTAGCTGAAGAAATTTTGCAAAGAAAACACTGAGTCCTGAAGGAGAACGCACAAATGATCTTTCTTCATAACCAGATGTGCTCTGTGACAATGTCAATAAGGAGTCATTAGATTACGCCATTTGGCAATGTCTCTTAAGAGTCATGTTTCTTAAGAGAATGGTATTTCAGTTTTGAGGGTAGCCTCCATTACCGGCCACTCCGGTATGATCAGAACACACAGATGAGAGTGACTTTGAGCCTTGAACACACACCACTTGATTATGTCTTATTTCATGTAATTTCAAACATCTTTTAAATTCGTGTTTCTTTTGGAATTCAGTATATATTGATGATGGTAAAATGGAATGATATTAATTGTTATGTAAACATTATTTGAAATATTTTGTTAAAATATTTCATTAATGTCAAACTCTCCTACCACATTTAGTGGCAGACATTATACAGGCATTTAATATGAAAAGTATTTCGGGGTCTGATAACAGTCATATTGGTCTAATGTGTTGACTGGAAATATTACTACACAGGATGTTCAGCTCTCCTATTGATTATTACAGGTCACTGTCAAATGCCTGGAATATTTCTCTGAGTGAAGTGTGAAGCTACAAACAAACACAAAATTGTTGATAATATAGCTACAGTTTATGATAACCTTTACTCTCATAAGAATGATTCTCAACAGTAAATCATTTTTCACTTGTTTGCCATCTCAAAAGTATTAATAACAGCAAGGAAAGACATAGCTCCCCTGGACCACAGGTTCCAGGTGCTTTTGTCTTACTTCAGACATTTGCCTCATGTTGTCAGATTATTTTTTGTTTTAATTTTTAATTTGGAATGAATTCGAAACTTGACATTGTTGTTTGTGACAACAAACTAGATACAGATACAAAATTATAATGTATAAAACAAATTATGAATGAAATGAAATGTTGTAGTTATTACTGCTCTTTACTTGTCAGCTGTGACTTGTGCTATCACAGTCATTATGAACACATGCAGTAATTATCTTCAATGTTCTAGTTAGAGCAAGTGTCCCGAATATGATTACTATGGGCTAGTAGAATTTAAAAAAATATATGGACTGGTCTTATAATGTTAATTAATATTATTCAGACATGTAGAGTTTCCAGGTTATTTCGTATTCTTGTTGGGGGTATCGGGTAACTTAATGTTCACATCAAAGATATGGGTTCCATTCCCTACATGGGTACAATATGTGAACCCCATTTCAGTGTTCCCTAAGGTGATGTTGGTAAACTAAAAGAAGCATAAAACCGTTTTCTGTTTCTGTGTTGATGGAAGGCATGTAGGTGTATGACATGTGCTTTTTAAATTCCAAGCAAGAGTTTTTGTATGCCCAACATTAAACATTAACAGTTTAAGCCAATACTTAAGTGAAACATTGTTCATGGGAGTTAAGGGCGGTGGGGTAGCCTAATGGTTAAAGCGTTGGCTCGTAACGCTAAAGACCCGGGTTCGAATCCCTACATGGGTACAATGTGTGAAGCTCATTTCTGGTGTCCCCAGCCGTGATGTTGCTGGAATATTGCTAAAAGCGGCGTAAAACCAAACTCAGTCAGTCATGGAAGTTACTTCATTCCATGCACTGAAACCTGGTATAAATGTCTGCCTTGCTCCCATGTTAGGCAGGTCATAGAGGAACGATGATATCCATGAAACAGAATAATTACAACTTAACCTGGTCACACATCTGATTCAGGGAAAATATTTGAACAGATAACTGAAATGTGATGTTTTCTTTTTGTGCAGATCTAAGTCGGGAGCTGACACGCAACACTGGGATCTTGCTGTACGTCCAGCAGTTCTGGGCCATGTTCGTGAAGCGCTCACTACACACATTCAGAAACAAACTTGTTACATCGTCACAGCTGATTGTGCCATTATTTTTCACGGTCATGGCGCTCATCGTCATTAAAACCTTCCCAGGACCAACCGACTCACCAGCTCTCAAGCTCTCCATTGACCAGTTCAAGAAAAACTATGTTCCCTATTCCACTGCATTGAATCCAAACGAGGCTTTGACCGAACTGGCTGAAGCTTATTTGAATCAGTTTGGAAATTCATCATCAATCTTGACCTACATAAATGACCTTCCAGGATTTAAAAAATGACCCTGACTTGATAAAATATCTGAGCAAGAAAGGAGGAGAAGGAATTGGGAATTATAACATTAGATATGTAATTGCTGCATCATTTGAAGAAGGTACACAGGCAGACACCAACAGTGCAACGGCATACTTCCAGAACCAAGCCTACCACAGCCCAGCCATTGCTCTCGCAACCGTCGCAAGTGCCGTGCTTCAGTACATCACCAACGACTCATCTTACTCCATGGAGGTGACGAACCATCCTCTCCCAAGAACAGACATGAATAGGATCAATGATGAACTCACCCAAGGTATGGAAGGATTTACCATTGCATTCAACGTCTGCTTCGGGATGGCGTTTTTGGCCAGCAGTTTTGTCCTGTTCCTTGTCAAAGAGCGGAATGTCAAGGCAAAACACATCCAGTTTGTAAGTGGAGTCCATGCTTTCAACTTCTGGGCTGCCACTTTCTGCTGGGACATGTTCAACTATTTAGTGCCTTGTGTTCTCCTCATCATCAGCTTTGCAGCATTCCAGATTGACGCATACATTGTGAACTTCCACTGGGCAGGCATATTGCTTCTGTTTGTGATGTACGGATGGGCCATGCTGCCGTTCATGTACCTGTTTTCATTCATATTCTCGGTACCAGCTACAGCCTACGTCTGGATCAGCATGTTCAACATACTCTCAGGTAAGAATCGATGCATGTAGATGAGGGGAGAAAGTTAGCCAAACAAACAAAATTAAACAGTTCACAGCACATCTGTTTTAAGACATGTCCAGGAAACTAAATATTTTTCTCTTATTTAATAAAAAATAGGCCCCCATGATATTAGATAATCAATAATTATTTTCATTGTCTTTGTTTAATTAATATGGATGTTTACAAACTAGTCAACTAGTCTATTTGAAAGACAACATTACCGATTATATTTTCCTCATAAAGATATATTGTACATGAGCCTTGTATGTTTAGAAAATTCACTTGGGTGCTGTTATTGAAATCATGCGCAAGTTAATCTTTTCAAAGATCAAGTAGTAGACATGATGGAGAATACACAGTTTGTTGATGAAACTAAAATGTTTCCGAAAATATTTTTCGGTAGTTATTTACCCCTTCTGCATTCCTGCATCTTCTAAAAATCAGTAACATTCACGAGAAAATTAGTACTGTCATGTGACAGTTTGTACTAGTACAATGGGGCGGTGTGGAAGCCTGGTGGTTAAAGCGTTCGCTCGTCACACCGAAGACCCGGGTTCGATTACCCACATGGGTACAATGTGTGAAGCCCATTTGTGGTGTCCCCTGCCGTGATATTGCTGGAATATTTCTAAAAGCGGCGTAAATCTAAACTCACTCACTCACTAGTACAATGTGAATATGAACATTATTTGCAAATTAATCTAGACTATAGCCAGGCACATCTGATATGTTCATACCACCTATTGAGGAAAATAAAGTGGATGATTCCTTGTAGTTTATTCTCAAAGTGTGACCCTGATAAGAAGTGTATATTTGTGTTTCACCTTTAGGAGTGGCTACAGTTCTGACAGTGGGTATTCTGGCAATCCCCCAGCTGGAGCTCGAGAACACGTCCCGGATCCTTGAGTGGATCTTCATGTCTGTCCTGCCCAACTTCTGCCTGGGGCAGGGTCTGGAGGACTTTTACAGCAATTATGAGTTCCTCAAATTATGCGAGAAGTTTAAGGCTTTTTGCCCCATTGCGCATACGCTCCCATGCTGTACAGGTAAGTACAGTCATTGATTCTGTGAAGTCAGTCTGTGAGCTGTGACATCAGTTCCCTAGATATTCAGTCACTCTGTGTTCAGTCAATTATGCATTCAATAAATCTGATAAATCTGTGAACTATTGAGTAAGTAAATCAGTTACCAGGCTTTAAGACACTTGGCTGTTAAGGCATTAAGACACTCAATAGATAACTCAGCTGTTAAGGCATTAAGACACTCAATAGATAACTCAGCTGTTAAGGCATTAAGACACTCACTAGATAACTCTGCTGTTAAGGCATTAAGACACTCAATAGATAACTCAGCTGTTAAGGCATTAAAACACTCACTAGATAACTCAGCTGTTAAGGCATTAAGACACTCACTAGATAACTCTGCTGTTAAGGCATTAAGACACTCAATAGATAACTCAGCTGTTAAGGCATTAAGACACTCAATAGATAACTCAGCTGTTAAGGCATTAAGTCAACAGTTAACTCAGTCAGCTGTTAAGGCATTAAGAGACTCACTAGATAACTAATTGTTAAGGCAATAAGACAGTTAGCAGTTAACTCTGTCAGCTGTTAAGGCATTAAGAGACTGAATAGATAACTACGTTGTTAAGGCAATAAGACAGTTAGCAGTTAACTCAGTCAGCTGTTAAGGTATTCAGAGACTCACTAGATAACTAATTGTTAAGGCAATAAGACTGTTAGCAGTTAACTCAGTCAGCTGTTAAGGTATTCAGAGACTCACTAGATAACTAATTGTTAAGGCAATAAGACAGTTAGCAGTTAACTCAGTCAGCTGTTAAGGCATTAAGAGACTGAATAGATAACTATGTTGTTAAGGCAATAAAACAGTTAGCAGTTAACTCAGTCAGCTGTTAAGGCATTAAGAGACTGAATAGATAACTACGTTGTTAAGGCAATAAAACAGTTAGCAGATAACTCAGTCAGCTGTTAAGGCATTAAGAGACTGAATAGATAACTACGTTGTTAAGGCAATAAGACAGTTAGCAGTTAACTCAGTCAGCTGTTAAGGTATTCAGAGACTCACTAGATAACTAATTGTTAAGGCAATAAGACTGTTAGCAGTTAACTGTCAGCTGTTAAGGCATTAAGAGACTGAATAGATAACTATGTTGTTAAGGCAATAAGACAGTTAGCAGTTAACTCTGTCAGCTGTTAAGGCATTAAGAGACTGAATAGATAACAACGTTGTTAAGGCAATAAAACAGTTAGCAGATAACTCAGTCAGCTGTTAAGGCATTAAGAGACTGAATAGATAACTAAGTTGTTAAGGCAATAAGACAGTTAGCAGTTAACTCAGTCAGCTGTTAAGGCATTAAGAGACTGAATAGATAACTACGTTGTTAAGGCAATAAAACAGCAGATAACTCAGTCAGCTGTTAAGGCAATAAGACACTCAATAGATAACTCAGCTGTTAAGGCAATAAGACTGTTAGCAGTTAACTGTCAGCTGTTAAGGCATTAAGAGACTGAATAGATAACTATGTTGTTAAGGCAATAAAACAGTTAGCAGTTAACTCAGTCAGCTGTTAAGGCATTAAGAGACTCACTAGATAACTAATTGTTAAGGCAATAAAACTGTTAGCAGTTAACTCAGTCAGCTGTTAAGGCATTAAGAGACTGAATAGATAACTCAGCTGTTAAGGCAATAAAACAGTTAGCAGATAACTCAGTCAGCTGTTAAGGCATTAAGAGACTCACTAGATAACTAATTGTTAAGGCAATAAGACAGTTAGCAGTTAACTCAGTCAGCTGTTAAGGCATTAAGAGACTGAATAGATAACTACGTTGTTAAGGCAATAAGACAGTTAGCAGTTAACTCAGTCAGCTGTTAAGGCATTAAAGACTGAATAGATAACAAGGCAATAAAACTTAGCAGATAACTCAGTCAGCTGTTAAGGCAATAAGACACTCAATAGATAACTCAGCTGTTAAGGCAATAAAACAGTTAGCAGTTAACTCAGTCAGCTGTTAAGGCATTAAGAGACTGAATAGATAACTACGTTGTTAAGGCAATAAAACAGTTAGCAGATAACTCAGTCAGCTGTTAAGGCATTAAGAGACTGAATAGATAACTACGTTGTTAAGGCAATAAAACAGTTAGCAGTTAACTCAGTCAGCTGTTAAGGCATTAAGAGACTGAATAGATAACTACGTTGTTAAGGCAATAAAACAGTTAGCAGATAACTCAGTCAGCTGTTAAGGCATTAAGAGACTGAATAGATAACTACGTTGTTAAGGCAATAAAACTATTAGCAGTTAACTCAGTCAGCTGTTAAGGCAATATGTCAACCAGTAGTTTTAACTCACTTAGCTGATAAATAAATAAGTCAGTCAGTAGTTATTAGCACAGTTCAGTCAGCTGTTCTTTTCCTGCCGTACCTATAATATTGGTACAGATCAATAATTTGTCTGTTGTTCTTAATATCATTAAAAATTAGACTTACTAAAGTGTATTTCAACTGCTTGCCTCTTCAGGATGTGTGGACTCCTGCTTGTATAACAATGAGAACTACTTTGGCTGGGAACAGAATGGTATTGGACGAATGTTAGTCTTCCTCAGTTTACAAGGTGTGGTCTACTTCTGCCTTCTGTTTGCAATCGAGCTCAACCTGTTCCAACGGATCTTCTATGCCATTAGTACTATAGGCTCTGAAAGCAGACACTCTTCATTCCTTACGAGACAACTCAGCAATACTGACAGTCGTATACAGGAAGACTCTGATGTCGCTACTGAACGTGCGCGATTGGCCAACAAATCTCTACAACAGCTGTTCCAGTCAGACAAGCTGCTGCTGCAGGAGGTGGTCAAGGACTATGACAACCTTCGTGCCGTGGATCACATCTCTGTTGGGATTCCTCAAGGCGAGTGTTTTGGCCTTCTTGGAGTGAATGGTGCTGGGAAGACCACAACCTTCAAGATGATGACGGGGGACGAGCTCATCACTGGTGGCAATGCTTTCCTGGATGGCTTCAGTGTCAAGACAAATACCCAAGAGGTTTGTTTCTGATATGTCAGAATATGTTTGTGGTCATTATCATCCTTGGCCACAGAGTATAGGGTATGATGTAAATGATCGCAATGTAAAATGAGTCAGAACTGGTGTCTTAAATTGATCTTTCAGCGAGTTATCTTTTCACTGTACTACTCATTGTAGATGTTTGTTTGCTCAGGTCATTACTTTGGCAATTAGGAGACTTGTCATCTGACAAGGGCCACTGAGTAGACTGGTATTAAACATGGCTATCTGACCCATGTCAGTAAATTGGCAGTTATTAAACATGGCTATATTAACCCTGTCATTAAATTGACAGTTATTAAACCTGGCTATCCGACTCATGTTATTCAGTTATCTAGCATTTGAATCATGTTATCAATTTGGCTACTATATGATATTACTGGTTGACTGGGCATTACATTCTCTAGTATCTGACCTCATCACTTTTAGGTGCAGCAACGACTGGGATACTGTCCACAGTTCGATGCACTGATTGGCCAACTGTCTGGGAGAGAGACATTGACCCTGTATGCGCGTCTCCGTGGTGTCATTGAGAGAGAGATTCCTGGCACCGTCAACAACCTCATCAGCTCTCTGCTTCTGACAGACTATGCTGATAAACAAGCCCACACGTACAGGTACTGCAGGCTAGGAGTATGAATAGTCTACTTGACCAAGCTGAGAGCAGTGGTTTTCTTTGTATCATAGCGCTATGAATAGTCTACTTGACCAAGCCGAGAGCAGTGGTTTTCTTTGTATCATAGTGCTATGAATAGTCTACTTGACCAAGCTGAGAGCAGTGGTTTTCTTTGTATCATAGTGCTATGAATAGTCTACTTGACCAAGCCGAGAGCAGTGGTTTTCTTTGTATCATAGCGCTATGAATAGTCTACTTGACCAAGCGGAGAGCAGTGGTTTTCTTTGTATCATAGTGCTATGAATAGTCTACTTGACCAAGCTGAGAGCAGTGGTTTTCTTTGTATCATAGTGCTATGAATAGTCTACTTGACCAAGCGGAGAGCAGTGGTTTTCTTTGTATCATAGTGCTATGAATAGTCTACTTGACCAAGCTGAGAGCAGTGGTTTTCTTTGTATCATAGCTATGAATAGTCTACTTGACCAAGCGGAGAGCAGTGGTTTTCTTTGTATCATAGTGCTATGAATAGTCTACTCGGAGAGCAGTGACCAAGTGCTATGCGTCCTTGACCAAGCGAGCAGTGGTTTTCTTTGTATCATAGCTATGAATAGTCTACTTGACCAAGCTGAGAGCAGTCTACTTGACCAAGCTGAGAGCAGTGGTTTTTTTGTATCATAGCGATGAATAGTGCATCAACCTGATTCAGGAGATTCCTAAGTGATGCAGAATTTGTACATTTACCAGTGTGCACAAGTGCATTACTGCACTGACAAGCTACAATATTTAAATGTATTGAGAAAATATAAGATTAAGTAAAGTGTAGGGCAAATCTTTTATGATCAGTCAAGGCAAAATACAGGCCTGAGATACAATGCTTCTGTCGTCTTTCTGAAGAACACACAAGTCATCAAATATACTGTGACTTTAAATTTGAAAATTTGAACTGATATTAGATACGTAGTTGACTCAATCTTAAACACTAAGTTCACAAGTAAATACATCAATTAAATGTCATTATGTAAATCATTTTGAAGTCTTGTACTCATGCTGATATTTCAGTGGAGGGAACAAACGGAAGCTAAGCACTGCTATTGCTTTAGTTGGCAACCCACCAATCATATTTCTTGATGAGCCAACTACAGGTATGGACCCTGTTGCTAGGAGACTGTTGTGGGATGCCTTGGCAACAGTAAGGGACAGTGGGAGGACGTTGGTACTCACATCTCATAGGTAAGTTCTGAATGCCTAGCTCGACCTGGTGTATTGTGTTTTGCCACAATCACAAGGTCCATAGCTCATGGTGTAAGCAACTCCTTTCCCTTGGATCATTAGAGTGTTGATTTTTAGATATGTGATTTGGGTAGACCTACAGAATACCAGATACCTACCAGCCATATTCTTCAGTGTTGTGCACTTCCCTTGATAGGGAAGCACGAGCTATAAAATTCAAAAACAATAAGGGAGCATCAAAATAAAAAATAACAGTTGACAGTTTGACAAGGTAGTATTTCTGGTTTTTTACTGTAGACAATGTACACATTCTTCAGTCTGTCACTAAACATGTTATTGCAGTTAGTTTTTCTCAGCCACACCTTTAACTCAATAAAATCTGGAAATAAAGTTAAATTTAAGACAATCCTTTTCCCTTTCTTATTAAGGTAGTTAGCAAAGTACAAGAAATCTTGAATGGAAATTAGAAGGGAAGTAAACTGTAAATTGTCATCCAATGATCATTCCTTAAAAGATGTTTCTTCCATGTCATTCCATGTCAAATGCACTTTTCAAAACATACTTTTTACAATGTCGCATATATTTGTGTATTTCTATCCCAGTTTTTATATTGATGATGATTTAAAAGAGAAAAAGGAATCATTAAAGCAAGAAATACAAACTTCTACATTTATTTTCACGACAGCATGGAAGAGTGTGAAGCCTTGTGTACGAGAATAGCCATTATGGTTAATGGTCAGTTCAAATGCCTGGGGAGCACACAACATCTCAAGAACAAATTCGGTGAAGGTTATACCTTGATGGTCAAGGTCGCTTATCCTGAAGGTGACCTTGAACCTGACCTTGAACCTTTAAGGGCCTTCATCGAGGGTCAATTCCCAGGAAGCATTCTCAAGGACATTCATCAGTGCATGTTGCATTATCACATAACTGACACACGTTTCACGTGGTCCCAACTCTTTGGGACAATGGAACGAGCCAAAGACAAGTACCACATCGAGGACTACCTGGTTGGGCAGACTACACTGGAACAAGTGTTTATCAACTTTGCCAGGTCACAAAGAGCACCAAATGATGCAGTGAAAGGATGTTTGTCTTGGTGTTGTTGATAACGTTGGACATAGATATCAGAGTAATAAGTCACAAACTATTTTTCATTTTGAAACAAAGAATTGTTCAGGTTACCATGACTACACAATTGTTGACATTTATGTCTGTTCTTCAACCTGTGGGTAATGTAGTACAGGTTAGACAATTGTTACTAATATATTTTAGAAATAGTTTTACATAGTTGTTTTCATTTGTTTGAAAAAGAAATGCATTGTAATAACTATTTTGTTGGAATAGTTTTTTAGCATTCCAAGGCAAGAAATGTTGTATTTTTGTTATCTCAAAACATTTAATTACAAAAAACAATCTATATATCTTACCTATGTTTGGGATCTCAGGCATTTATTTGCTGAAAATATATAATCAAATTCCCAAAAGTTTGTTTTACAATTTGGACCCTTCTGATTGCTACATACAGGGTAGAGCACTCAGTGTTTAAAACTGTGGGTTTCCAGTTGGAGTTGTTTCCCTTTACTCCAGAAAATGTCTGCAATGTGCTGTTCTTTTTAGTTGTTGTAAATGCTTGTCAGACATGGTGGTGTGTTCAACAAAAGTCATGTCCAGCCAAACACTGTTGTGTCAAAGAGACCTTCGCAAATACTTTCCGTTATTCAAGTTTCATCACAACCGCAGACTGCTAAAAAATTCAGAAATATTCAGGGACCAAGCTTTTACTTTAATACAACCACAAGTTCAACACCTTTGAGACAACAGTGTTTGACTATATGTATATTGTCTTGTGATAGAATGGATAGCTGTGATACGTTCCTTTGTTGCCTTTTTAATAGCTGTGAAGGTGTGTTATTTACTTGACTCTTTATAGCTCTGAAGGTATGTGATGTCAATCATCAGATTTTGTAATAGCTGTGATGGTGTATGATGTACTATTGAACATCCTCAGATATCATGTGATCAGTCCAAACACATCAAAACTTCCCCCGCCAAGATATTGCTGGAATATTGCTAAAAGCGATGTGAAACTAAACTCACTCACTCACTCACTCAAAACTTCAAGGTTTGTATTCACTACGGATTTTCCTCCAGCCTTGGTTGACACTATAAGTTGTTCACTGGTCACGAGGGGGGCATGGGTTGTTGTAACCCTCGATGTTTGTGTTTGTTCCCCTCGCCCTTCGGGCTCAGGGAACATAAACAAACATCGAGGGTACATCAACCCATGGGCCCCGAGGGACCAGTGAACAACGTATTTATCTTACCGAACACCTTAATTTTAATTTTGAATTGTTTGAAGCACGGGTACAAATCTTTTTGTAGCCATCGCTAGATTTTGCTGACAATAAAAACAGATTTAGAGTTACCTCCCTTCCATCGATTTGCATCCCGGCTCCATTATTTACAGAACGCTGCCATATAGCTGAAATATTGCTGAGAGTGGATTGAAACAACAAACAATCATATCAGCCATCAACCATCAACCATGACTACATGTGGATTACTCCTCGTGAAATATAGTGATGCAGTTTATTGTTTGTAAGCTACTGAAAGCCCATTTATAACTCAGGGACGTCCCTACTCCATGCATGAATATCCATGAAAACCCTGTCACTATATGTAATTGAGGCCGTGTATAGAGCAGATGGATTTTATCTTATGGCACAGGTTCCACTCATTGTCAAGCATGAAGTAATACCTGTGTTACAATGTAAACTGTACAATCATTGGTCTGTACACTCACTGGCTTCATTCCCATAGGAAGCATCCTTTGTTGGTTTCATTGATTGAAAATATCCAGTGACATCACCAGTGATGGATCACAATGACATGAATACTCTTGTCAGCCCTTTTTACTGGAAGGCCCTTTTAAATTCTTTTTTTTTTTATTCTGCGTATATGTAACTATATTTCAGGAATATGATATCAGCACTAGGAGTTGCTGAATAATCAATAATTGGAAATATTGTTGATGGGGAAAATTATTAATGATTATCGATATGAAACTTGAGTTATCAATAATATCATACATTATCTTATTTTATTTTCTTGCACAATATACAAAGTTAGGACTTTATTCGTGGTCTGCTTCTAAATTATGGTCAGGACACTGTTTTGTTAATAATCCATGCAAAACATGTCACCACTCACCACTGATGTGAAATATATACTGATGGTACAAAGTTAAGCAATCCTGTATGTACATGTTGATTCTTCGTAGGTAATTAGATTTGAACCTAATGCATTTGCACATGAAAAGTTGCATGAACACTTCACTCAAACACATTCAACAGAATGAGACCAGATATCATGCTGCACGTGGATAGTGAAATCCGCGAAGGCACTCGCGACTTGAACACAATACAAGTTTGATGACTGGTCTTGTCAACGTCATTTCACTGCAAACATGGCACGGAACAGGATCCTCGGATGCTTCACGATGGCAGATGATAGGCATGAGGGAAGGGCACTTTCACGTTAGTAAGTCAGTGGTCAGCAGACTGTTATCCAAACACAGTGACAGGTGATGTGAAGGACAGACCTCGTCATGGTCGACCTAGGAAGACCAGTGCACGTGACGATCGTCGTTTGGTTAGAATGGCGAAAGATAATCCTTTTCATTCAGCAAACCAGTTACGCCAAGAGTGGACACAAGCAACAGGCGTCAACGTGTCCCGTGAGTTAGTGAATAAACGTCTTGTGGCAGCTGGATTAAGGGCTCGAAGACCCCCAGAACGCCCACGTCTGACACCTAGGCATATGCAAGATCGATTGCTCTGGGCTAGACAACGTCAAAACTGGAACATTTGAACTTGGCGACGAGTAATTTGGACGGATGAGTCACGCTACAATTTGTGCGTCGCTGACGGTCATTTATGTGTCAGACGGGCAACCAGGGATGAGCTGAACCCAAAGTGTGTCCTTCCTACTGTTGCTGGGGGCAGCGACTCCATAATGGTATGGGCTGGATTTCACTTATGACGAGAAAGTGGACATCAAGGTGGTCCAAGGAACAATGACAGGGGTAACTCTTTGCAATCAGATTATTGATAACACAGTTATTCCTTTCCTTCACGCCAATCCTGACACAGCATTCATTTACCAAGATGACAATCTCGTCCACATCGTGCTATTGTTGTTCAGGAGCCAAACAAGAGCACAGAATTGAGTCCCTTCCTTGGCCAAGTCAGAGTCCTGATCTCAACCCGACAGAGCATGTATTGGATGGGATCGGCAGACATGTAAACCGTCGTGATCAACCTCTGGCCAACTTACAAGAGCTTAGAAATGCTGTTCTGAATGCTTGGAACAACTTACCAATGAGATTTATCTAGTGCTCTCACTGAGGCGCAGATGTCAGGAGGTGATAAACAGCCGAGGTGGTTACACCCATACTGAGGGTCATTATGTCAAAACTGTGTCATCAAACAGACAAAAGTTTACAGTTTGTGTTGAACACTCACATATCCCACCTTACACTTAAGAGTTTTCCTGTGTGCCCAAACTTTGTTGGATCATTATTTGTCTAAAAATTACCATTTCAACATCATGCAGATTAAAAGTACACTATAATGACTGTAGTTTGTCTTTTAATGATGTTTAGTACCTTTGAAGTATTGGTTGATAGAGATCCACCAATATGTGTGTCATCAAGCGTTGGCAGTGAAAATTTCTTTCCGACATTTTTTGCATTTTTGCTCAAAGTTAGTTCTCCATTATTTTTTCATATCCGATTGCTATTTAGTTATTATAACTGTCTTTTTGTGTTGTGTCATCTTAGACTGGAGTACTTTGCGCAATAGGCACACTTTCCCATCCCTTTTCTGTGAGACGTAATTGTTACATTTCCTTATTATTTCACCAGGTCCAATGCTTAGATATGTATTACAACAAATGTATGTTTAATTTTGCAGCAGTGCAATATAAAACTACTGTCACTTCGAGAGAAACAAAATCATTTGAGGAAGTGAATGTCTATTTGTTTACTGGAGCAGGAGAAACGTGGATAGTGTTTGAGTTCCTTAATGATATTTGAAGGACAACAACTTCTACAGTCTGAACAAAATCACGTCAGTTCTTTGTGAAGTTGATCCACAGACATTTCCATGTAGGCTGGACAGTACCCTTTCGCTTGTATTGTGAATTAGACTGTCCAAAATTTGACAAAGTAAATTAAAATGTACATTTGAAATATTATATTTGATTAAAAATAGTCTCATTTCAAACATGTTGTTTATTGTAATTTTGTAGTAACTTTTCTTTCAGTGATAATGTTTTTAGGAAATTAACATTTAACCAACTCGAAAAGCTATTTTTTCAGATTTTGCCTCCAGTACAGATGTCTTGGCGTCTTCACAAATATAACCCATTATTATTATTTTTATTATCATTATTATTGGAAATTTATATAGCACATATCAACCGCGCATCCTATTATCTCAACTCCCTATGGAGCATACAACTCTTAGACAAATAAAATCCTATTCAGGCACTGAAGTGATGATTGGTGTAGGTCATAAAAGTCATTTTTGACAGAACACGACATCATTGTTTAACTGATTACAGTGACATGGTTGTAAGAAAATATGTATTGTCAGTAAGCAGTTTTTGTTTGTATGAATTGGACTTTTGGAATACTGCTGGAACTTGTCTTATCAAAGTGTATATTGTTACAAGATCACGACTGTGTGGGAATTAGTCACCAGAGAGAAAACTCTTTTGACATATTGATATTTTTTACACCAATGGGCGTTGAGAGGGAGCCTTTTGGTTAAAGTTTTGGGAAAGACCTCGGTTTGATTTCCCACATGGGTACAATATGTGAAGCCCATTTCTGGTGTCCCCAGCTGTGATATTGCTGGAATATTGCTAAAAGTCGCACTCACTCACTCACTCACTCACTCACTCACTCACTCACTCACTCACTCACTCACTCACTCACTCACTCACTCACTCACTCACTCACTCACTCACTCACTCACTCACTCACTCATCACTCACTCACTCCACAGCTGTGAACAGTCAATAATATAGAAACACACCACCAGGTATTTCATTCCTGGGCCTAACCTGGTATATCAATCTTTGACTTTTATACTCTTCCCCTGGCATTAGCCGTATAGGTTCACAGGTTATGGACATGTGAGTGAATGAAAGCAGGTATACCTGAGTCACTCCTACACACTCAACTGACCGATAGCCCACACACAACATTTAGGTGTGTCATATATTACGAGCTCTTCCATCATCGCAGGTGATTAATTGGTTGTCGCAAACAGAAAGGGAGAAGCTAACGGAAATTAAGACTTTAACAAACATGTTGCCATAAATTATTTGTAAACACGTTTTGTGATTATTGGCCTTGCTCCAAGGCTTCTAAGCCCATGGATGTATGGTAATTCTATCCTGAAGAGACGCAAATCAAGATAAGCAGACAGTCTAAGGACGCCAGTCTGTTATATAAACATGGAACTTAATTAAACACCCCTAACATATTTTAACTTACTGACTTACCGAATGATAATTTTTGAATTGTAACGATGGCTATTATTTGAACTGTATTCCCTTTCAATATTGTTTAAGGGTTTTGCTCAATGAATCGTCAAAACACATCCCAAGATACAGCTGAAGCACACTACCCACGATTGTCTCAAAAAACACTATTTAGTCGACTTGTTCAAAAACACCGTCAAACCAACAAGGTTAAGGACTAACCAAGGCCAGGTCAACCCCGAGAGACGTCTCAAGTTGAGGATCAGAATTTAGCAAGCCTTGTGAGACGTCAGCCTGTCACTTAAAACAGCGTCCTGAAGCAACTATGGCTGCCCAACAGACGTCTGTGCAATAGGACTGTACGAAACCGCACAAAGGCACATGGGATGAGGGCAAGAAGGGTGATCAAACGTCCAGCGTTGACCAATCTCTAAAGAGAGCTCATTTGGAGTGGTGTTTAGCCCGACGTCATTGGAATTTGACGTCATGGAGGAAGGTGCATTGGTCGGATGAGAGTCACTTTTTATTGCACGTCACAGACGGGCGCCAGCGCG